ATACCACCTTCAGTCAAGCAACCTCGATTAAGCCATATTTGGCAGCAGCAGGTCACAGAGTTTAAAACAGCATGCATGCAGCATGTCAGAACATTGAAAACCCCATTCAGTAAACTATACATCAGAGGATGTAAACTCATATTCATGAAGTAGGGCATGAGGGCATGTAAACTCACATTCAGGCAGAATAACTCAGAGCGTTTAAACTCACATTGTCACTATAGTACACACGGGCCTTTAAACCCTACATTCAGGAAGGGGATGTTAGTAATGAAACCCATCTTGGGACAGTACAACAAATCGGTACATATGATCCTGCATCCAGGAAGCATCAAGTCAGATCATTCAATTATTCAATTGAACTTTGAAGCACATTTACGGAACAACTTGTCTAAATATGTGAACCAATATTCAGCCAGCAGTTCATCAGAAGGTTCCATCCCACACAAAGACAACAGCACATATATCTGATGGATTTAGAAAGTGACAGAAGGTCCCAACACCAGCAGCCCCACCCTCTATACCTCAGACTGAGCATTTCGGTAAACCCACATCTGGTCAGCTTCTTACCGAGATGCCGAAATAGGGGACGATGTAGTCTCAATGGAGATGCTATGTACTAGTACTTGAATATCCCATCTCACTTGGGCTCTCGTTTTAACTTGTTGCTGTAAGTTGCTGTTTGCATGAAAATTGCACACTTCGAGAAGCTAGGCGTTGTAGAATCGAGGATAACCGCAGAAGGGCATAAATTGTTTCTTTTGACATATTTACCCTCAGGTAACAGTAACCCCCTTTAGAGTTGGGCTAAATATGTTGTCATTTATGAAATGTTACGTGTAAATGGTCGCATTGAGAGGCATCAAACGGATTTTGGAATCTGGTCATTAACTGCATGGGAGAGTTTGAAAGCCACATCAGTCGACTCACGGCTTCCTTCTTAAACGAGGGACGAAAGCCCGAAGTGATACAGGTCCCAGATGTTTCCACCCTGATGAAAACCTCGAGGACGGGTATGGTGCTAGCTAGACTATAAACATGACCGGTTTCAAGCTCACGGTCACAAATTTCACAGCGAATTGTGGCACCTTAAACCTGTCACTGTGTAGATTAAGTTTTACTGTTGAAGACAAGGACAAGTATTATATCTGCTATTTTCTGTAAATGTTAATTAAATATAGCAATTATGCCTTCAGATTGATATAAACATATAAATAAGCATAAATACTACCCGACGCCATGGTTACTACCATAAAGCTTAAGATAACGTAACAGCATCTATGTATCACTCACCTTTTCCTTCCAGATACAGATCCAGAAATTCTGAATACGTGCCGTCAAACCTAAAACTCATGTTTACTCCGTTGAGATGGTTATAATAAGATACGCTGACATCTTTGGGATTTCGCAGGATCAAGATTGTTTTTATTTTCTTCTCCACCATCTTCTCGGGCAGATGACGGAAATTTAGATGTGAGTTCAGAACTCTTGGAGAGGGGAGTTCATCAACCCGCACTGATTCCGGTGCCCCCAACATGGCGATGTCCTTAGCCTTCTTGTTGTACTCAGAGTTACCGGCCCTGAGCATGGAGACGATTTCCCACAACCAGTGGGTACCTGGAGGGATCGGAATAGACAGCATTGTGTGAGTAAGTGGGTGAATTGGGGCTTACGCCTGTTTGAATGGTATTTGTGTTTCGGTCAGCATGATCTACACAGTGCACAGCTCACAAATCAGTTAAGCTCACAATTAAGCCAAGTTGGTAGACTGATGGGTCCACACCAGATCATGAGTTTCTTGTGTCAAAGAACCACCTATTTACTGGGAAGTTAAAACCTCCATTCATTCACAGACTACTCATTTGTACAGTACATTGTTTAGCTTGGGTTCTTACCGCATTTGGGATAAGCTGCAATCAAGACGTCATCGTCCCTAAGTTTCAGTCTCTGAACTTTACGGAGCATTTCCATATTAGCTTCAGGGGTTGTAACAATCGTCCGAAGAAGGCCGTCATTTTTGAAGAAGAACCATCCGTGACCATTCTCATTCCGGTAGTCCAGAATCTCGGGAGTTCTACAAAGAATCACTGGTTGGGTTTGAATGACGGTTTAGAATCACTTGTGTGAGGAAACTGCTTGGTGCTACTTACAAAATGACTATTTTGCCCACAAACCAAGGATCAATATAATGTCGAACTTCGGTTTGGACTTAATGGATTCTAGCCCTCCCAATAGACGTAATATGTGCATTTAGCTGAGTGTTAGTCGCATTTAAATAAATGAACATCAGTACAATAGTGAAAAACAAGTTGCTGCTGTAATTTCAAGGAATGCATACCGTGCTCGGTTCCCGCCTACGTTTAAATTTAACGATTACTTCCCTGTGATTAGCAGCATACACATGTACAGTCGTGACCAATTCTCCTCATTTAGAAACAAGATGGCTGCGGAAAAAGCACTGCACTGACACAGAATAATGAGAGGAACAAGTACTTACCGTTCACCTTCCATAATGATCAGTATGTGTGATCAAAGCTTGTAACTGACTTTTTACAACACACAACTGTGTACGCCTCGCGTGACTTTCTACTACTCCGAAGAGAGAACCGTCCCAACCAATGTTACAGTTCCCTGTTAATAAGTAGCACAGTCCGTGTCGACTGTGTAAGTTTTGATTCTAGGGGAGCAGGGCGAGGACTTCTCCACGCGAGGATGTTGAGGCTAGATCCAGTCGACCTGACACGCTCTTATCAAGGCTGTTTATGCAAGTCATGGATCTAGAAACAAGTACGTTATTCAAGTTGTTATTCAAACAAGTGCAGTATATTCGCTGTGCAGACTTGCGTCCGTTGGGCACCCGGAAAACTTATGACGGTGGTATGTGGAATGCCAGTTGAATATGTTTTCTCGCTTCTCTACGCCATACCCATAGGAGTAGGTGGGTTGGACGAGTGGAGAATGTGATCAATTGTTACGCCAAGAATTTTAATTGCTTCAAGCATCAGTTAAGACGATCCGACAGAAAACGGACTCTCCAGTGAAATATTTCCAATGTGTCAGCAACCCACGTTAACTGTTCACATATAACATTACTGCTGATCTAAATTCTTGGTGGTAAAATGGCACAGAAACATTGTGTTCTCATAAACCGATAATGCACTGGAATATTCCACGTTTTTGTGTTTGAAATGAAAATTGCACTCCAACTGAATATGTTTCAACATTGTAGTTTAGTGGTTACTTGATCACCTGTGCATTAGCAGTGTATCACTCGCAATAATATGGAGAGTTATCAACCTTTGTTTTGTTTTGTAGATTCTCAATAGTGAACTTTTACTTTATGTGGAGCAATAGTCCAAGGTCTCAAGCCTCTGATCCCTAGTATGGTGATCTACCTTCTGTTGTTGGCGATCTCTAGCCTGTTTTTATATTGTATTGTCCCAATAGTGCTATTAGTTTTAAACTTTCCACGCTAGTTTTAATTCTAATTGTGACATTCTAGTTGTTTTACTGTCCTTCGTCGACAGGTTTTTATAATATACATATATTCCACTTCAAAATCAAATATGTTCTCGTCACGATTGTGGCCGTTTTGTTAACAATCATTGCCAATTTGACAGTTAAATACCAACATCAGTGTGCTTTCTGGATGAAAAGCATATCGACCTTCGGTACAATCGCACCATGACAAAAGGCTCCGTTTGACATTCGTGAAAATGAAAATGCACGTGCACAGCACTTGACAATCAGTGTTGCATCATGTTAAGAAAATCTACCGACTGCAGGAGCGGTATCTGGCTTCTAACAGCATCCAAGACCGTCCACGCAGTGGGCGACCTCCAGAAACATCACAACATCAAGACCGACAGACTGTGCGCAACCATCTGCAGGATTGCTTCCCCAGAGCGACGGAAACAGCACGCCAGACCATTCGGGAGTCACAACAGACCCATTAGTGCCGATACAGCGCGTCGACGTTTGCGCGGAAGAAACCTCTGCTGTCATATCGTGTTCCTGACCATATCGTGTTCCTGTCCTCACCGCTTGTCACCGCCAAAGCCGACTGCAATGGGCAACTCAGCATCAAAATTGGCGTTATCGATTATGGAGAACTGTGCTTTTTTTCTGATGAAACCCGATATTGTGTTTCGACAGCCGATGGCAGAGTGAGAGTATGGCGAAAACGTGGGGAACTGTTTTCCAATGAGTGTATTGTTGAAGGAGACTCGTTTGGTGCTCCAATCATCATGTTGTTGGGTGCAATCGGTCTAGAGAACTAGAGAGTTGGCCCCGTGGTGTTCCAGAATCTCGGTCCAGGGTGAGGAAATGAAGTGACAGATGCTCGCTATACTGACCAAGTCATAAGACCCCATGTTGTAACACATTTTGGACGTCACAGAAATCACATCTTCCAGCAAGAAAACGCTCGTGACCACACTGCCAGAGCAACATTGGGCTTCCAAAGACAACATCACATCCAAACCCTACAGTGGCCTGCACTCAGTCCGGATTTAAGTCCAACAGAACACCTTTGGGACGAGATTCAAAGAAGACCGAATGACCTCCAGCCAATGCTGACAACTGCGGTTGGAATCGATCTGGCATTTCGCAGAGTATGGACCCAAATGCCTGTAGTCTTCATCAACCGGCTAATTCACTCCATGTACAGACGATGCAACGCTTTCATCGATGCCCATGGAGGCCACATACGGTATCTTAATGGTATCATTTTTGGTGATTTTGTTTGTGTGAACTCTAAATGTGATTCCCGAAAATGTGTTAACCATAATTGCCAAGTTTGAACTCAATCCTCCGTTTTGATTGTTTTGTTGTTTGTTAGAGTGAAGTAAATTTTGTGTTTTAAGAAACTCTATCGGTAAGACGTTTCTTTTGTGGTTCAGTATAGTTTGATTTGTACACTTATTAAAACGCGAGTGTTGGGGAATCAGCTCGCTAGGCAAGAGGTTGACAATACCAACCCCCACACAACACAACACGAGTAAATAAACGGGGAGTTTATTACTCAGCAGTCACAGGATCTTATATTACATAATCAGTCAATAATTAATTCTTAAAACATGTTCACAACGCAATCAGCTTTCAAAGTACATAAACATCACATGTAGATTCGTTACGCATTTATCACAACGTAATACAATAGTTCAATACAGTGGGTATCCATACAGTCACAAAACAGCAGAGTGCCCACAACGTAATGTAATACTAGTAGTTAGGGTACCCGACACACTCTATACAATCTATAAGTCACAAAACCGCGAAGTGTTATTCAGTATTAAATAAATAATCCTAAACAGAAATATGTGAAAGGATGCCACGTTCCACATACACGTGAAGGTAGTGCCAAGGGTCTAAAGATATGTACAATAGATTAAAGTTAACACAGAAACAAATGGTAAAGATTTATCAAAGTAGAAGATAGTAAAATTACAAACATGAATGAAGTTACCAGACAACCACCGAATGATTTGTGACTGTCGTCCGTATTATATACCTATTCCATTTACTGACAAAACTTACAATAACCTTCATATTGTGACCTTGAGATTATGTCATTTACTTTGACCGAAGTATCGATGGCCAGTTGAGAGTATGCCACGAACGTATATGTGGCACGCGCGTGATTTGTCCATGAGATATAAACCTACAATATAGATAAACGCAATGCACCTTGTTTCTATTAGCTTCACAGATACTCGTCCCAGATTTTGTCCTATGCTCGTTATCAACGTGACCCCAGGAGGTGAGATATAAACATACAATATAGATAAACGTAATGCACCTTGCTTCTATTAGCTTCACAGATGCTCGTCCCAGATTTTGTCCTATGCACGTCATCAGTGTGACCCCTGGAGGTGAGATATACACATACAATATAGATAAACGTAATGCACCTTGCTTCTATTATCTGCACAGAAACTCGTCCCAGATTTTGTCCTATGCTCACTATCAATGTGACCCCTGGCAGGTAAGATATAAACATACACTATAAATAAACGTAATGCACCTTGCTTCTATTCTTCACAGATACTCGTCCCAGATTGTGTCCTATGATCGTTATCAACGTGACCCTTGGCAGGTGTAAGATAGTGCAATGTAGTAACTAGTCTGTGATATTTCCAGTTTTCAACAACATATATTAATAGTTTAATCAATATCAATTGTTTATTCAGTAGTTTATACCATGTTAAAAACATGATATAAAGACAATATTATATATTTTATGACAGGGGTTTCATAACATAATTGTTAAACTTTGTCAGTTTAATCCATATTTACAGACATAATACATTCATAGATTGTTTTATGCTTTGCTCACGTGTTACGAACATTTACACATAATACTAGCTTCAAGGACATAGCTTTTTTAATATATGCAGTTTCAAACTCAAATACCGGTAAATACATTGTAAATACAGTTACTTATATTTCCCTTAGATTTGTTTTGACATGTAACGGGTATATAACATGGATAACTGTTGATGGCACAACACAAATACCACTCAATCACCCATCCATCTTGGAACAACATTGATTGATTCTAGCCAACAAGTAACGGTATATAAATCGGATAATGGTTCATGGCACAACACAAACACAAAAACTCAGTCATCCATCTTGTTACAACATTGATTGATTCTGCCTAACTTTACCTCAATTTCAGTGTCAGCCAAATAACCTGTAAGGGTCAGAGGTCAAACTCTGTGGTTTGACATGAACATACAGCTTAGAGATGAATATTCATGGATATATCCTGGATGATATTTGGCATTCAGTGTCCACAACCCCATGATCACCATATAACCGTTATTCATACGTGAATACAATGCCTGTTCCTTCAAATCGGCGCTCAATGACGTTGTCAAATATTTCGTTCTGGGCAACTGTTATCCAGTTCTTCCAATCCCCTACTTCACCTGAAACAGCACATATATTTCATATATTTCAAAGGTGAGTGATACTATTTAAGGTCAGTAAGTAATACATTACTAGCTCCTTAAGTACGTCATTCATGAGTAATTCCTGAAGTAAGTAACACAGAAACAATTCTGTAATTTGTCAGTGTCACAAAACTTCCTCAGATCAAGTTATTTATATTTTGTGTCAAACTCTACTGAAAATCAGTTTGTAATATACATTCATATGTATTCATGAGCCCTTCCGTAAGAAATGTATGACTGCGACCTCAAAATATCTACAGATTTTATGCAATTCTAAGCCACGTGTGTCCTCACAAGAAGTAACGTCATAACTAGACCTAATCTAACCCACGTGTGTCTCACATCAAGTAACGTCATCAATTGACCTACTCTAAACCACTTGTGTCTCACATCAAGTAACGTCATAACTGGACCTACTCTAACCCACTTGTGTCTCACATCAAGTAACATCATAATTGGACCTACTCTAACCATCGTGTGTCTCACAACACGTAACATCATAACTGGACCTAATCTAACCCACGTGTGTCTCACATCAAGTAACGTCATAACTGGACCTAATCTAACCCCCGTGTGTCTCACAACACGTAACATCATAACTGGACCTACTTTGACCCACGTGTGTCTCACATCAAGTAACGTCATAACTGGACCTACTCTAACCCACGTCTGTCTCACATCAAGTAACATCATAACTAGGCCTACTATAACCCATGTGTGTCTCACAACAAGTAACATCATAACTAGACCTACTATAACACACGTGTGTCTCACAACACGTAACATCATAACTAGACCTACTATAACCCACGTGTGTCTCACAACACGTAACATCATAACTGGACCTACTCTAACCATCGTGTGTCTCACAACAAGTAACATCATAACTGGACCTACTCTAACCCACGTGTGTTTCACATCAAGTAACATCAGAACTAGACCTACTATAACCCACGTGTGTCTCACAACAAGTAACATCATAACTAGACCTACTCTAACCATCGTGTGTCTCACAACAAGTAACATCATAACTAGACCTACTATAACCACGTGTGTCTCACAACAAGTAACATCATAACTAGACCTACTATAACCCACGTGTGTCTCACAAGTAACATCATAACTAGACCTACTCTAACCCGCGTGTGTCTCACAACAAGTAACATCATAACTGGACCTACTCTAACCCATGTGTCTCACAACAAGTAACATCATAACTGGACCTACTATAACACACGTGTGTCTCACAACACGTAACATCATAACTAGACCTACTCTAACCCACGTGTGTCTCACAACACGTAACATCATAACTGGACCTACTCAAACCCACGTGTGTCTCACATCCAGAAACGTCCTAACTGGACCTACTCTAACCCACGTGTGTCTCACATCAAGTAACATCATAGTTGAACGTGGTAACTAGTCTGTGATATTTCCAGTTTTCAATAACATGTACCGTCATAAAATATTTGTTAAACTTCTAACCCACGTATGTCTCACATACAGCAACATTATAATTGGCCCTACTCTAACCGACGTGTGTCTAACAAGTTACAGTATTAGTACTTGGACCTACACTATCCTTGCTCCTTATTTAATGTATGAAGGACGCGTGGAAAACTATGACAATCTCACCTTTTCTGTAAACTCCTTGGCGACCTTCCTTCCACATGCTCAACGGATTAGTGGTGTGCTCTTTGACTTCAGTGTCTGCCGATTTGAGCTTCTTAAAGCTGCACGCTTCTGCTATTTGCTCACATAGTTCATCACTGACAGGGACTCCAATGAAGTCGGCAACCGTTTTGATGTTTTTAACAGGATCCTAAAATCAACCAAATAAGCGTTGTCATCCCGAACAAATGTAAAGCGCGCTTACCCTTAGTAATTAACAGTACTATTGCCGCTGAAGAAACATAGAATTATGGAAAGTCCAGTATACTATAGGTAAACGAAAGTTTAAATAACAAATAAGCCCCAGGACAGTTAACTAAAGATGTATACTAAGCAGCAAAAGAACGTCACTTTGGAATGTTCCTTTGCAGAAACGGATAACTGTAAACTCATTTAATGTTTTGATTGTATATTTTTGACAACATCTCCAACTTTATCTGAGCAAAGACATTCCTTCCCAAACTCAGAATGGAACCGAGGAAATGGTCTCGAAACCGCAACCTGATCTCGGAGATGGTATGGTGTTCTCCGTGTTTTTCATGCAACTCATGCTGCACGTGCTGTTCACAAGGACCAACCCTATAAATTGCACCCCCAAACCTGGTTGAAACATTCACATTACAACGTCAGCAGGATAACGCGACTCACGAAAGCTCAGAGGAACCAGGCGCTAGGAAGACTTGAAGCTGGCCACACTGCACAAGCCGTTGCCAATCACTTCGGACCATCTACAGGCTGCAACAACGTTTCCGGGCCACCAACACCACAAATGATCGCCCCCGTACAGACCAAGGGTGACCACAAGACGACAAGACCGCCATGTTGTGTACAGAATCCCTTCATGCAGGCATCCGAAACAGCACGCCAGACAGTGGGAACACACGGAAGACCAATCAGTACTGATACAGTACGCCGACGTCTTAACAGCGGGAACCTCCATTGCCGTAGACCTTACCGTGGACCTATCCTCACCCTTCGTCATCGACGTGAACGTCTACAGTTTGCTCTACAACACCCAAACTGGCGATACAGGCAATGGAGAACTGTTCTGTTCACAGATGAGGTCGGTACTGCGTATAAACTGCAGATGGCAGAACAAGAATATTGCGACGACGTGGCCAGCGTTACTCAGACCAATGTGTTATGGAAAGAGACTCATGGGGAGGTGCAAGCATCATGGTATGGGATGGAATAGGCCTGAATCAGAGAGTGGGTCCTGTGGTGTTCCAGAACCTTGGTCCAGGGAGAGGAGGCGGCATCACAGCGGTGCGCTACATCGACCAAGCTCTCAGACCCCACGTCATACCACATTACGCACGTCACCGGAACAACATTTTCCAGCATGATAACGCCCGGGCCCTTACTACCAGAGCTACACAGGACTTCCTACATGTGTCAACAGTATGCAGTGGCCAGCCCTTAGTCCTTAGCCCTTAAACCCAACTAAACATCTTTGGGATGAAATTCAGAGGAGACAGAATAATGTCATACCAAGGCCGCACACAGCCGATTTATTGCGCCAGGCCTTTCTCAGAGTGTGGTTCCAGGTGCCAATGGCCTTCATCAATCGATTGGTGCACTCCATGCATAGACGCTGTGCTGCAGTTTTTGCCGCTCGTGGTGGTCCCACTAGATACTGAAGTCGAGGGTCTGAATGGACTGCAAACGTTCACGTAATGTCTTGAAAATGTGCTGAGTTATTCATTGATGTCTCAAAATATAGTACACAAAACATGTTTTTGATCCGCTTATTATGTCCATTTCTGTAATGATTTGATTACAGTGTCTATCTAATTTTGAATTCGTACTGACGTTTTTTTTGCTGCTAAGTATATAAGGATACACGTGAAAACTGGCAGACAGACGAAAATATGTACTCATGTTATTTAAAATGATCAGGAAATTGATAATCGATCTTGCTGCACTTGATACGGTATTATAGGCAATATCACACGCATCATATCAATGAGCAACTCAACAGATGTCATGCACATGACGCAGATATATGTAAATTTCGAGTTATTTATATGTTCCATCTGAGCGTTACCAATTACTGTGATGGACCACCAGTGTTTACATTCAGATCTTCAAACCAGCAAACCATTATAACCATCTTCTCGACATAAGGCATCTAGGTCAAGTACAAACCTTTTTCAAGTTTTCATAAAACAACGTCAACATTGGCAAGTCCGGGTTGTCCTGTTTCACTTGCAGCCAATCCTTTACGTAGTCGACATAATCACCACTGGCCACTGAAAAATCGATGGAATTTTACATAACATAACGTCCGAAAGCTATGGATACACCATGCCATTTAGAAAGTGGTCAAATGTAACATAAGTTATATTTGGGATTACACTTTCTCAGTAAAATAAAGATTCTAGTACTTTTGGGGGGTTGAGTCCCATCCGGGATTCGAACCCACACACGCCGGCACACAATCAGGCACCTGATCGCAATAAAATTCATGGAAGCCGTGCCAATGTACACTTATCAGAGGGGTACACAAAGCAAACAGTCAAGCCTACCAGCTGTCCGACTTCCATTTTTTGTGGAAGTCGCGGTGGCTGCGCGGGTTAGGCGGGTTACAGCATCTGCGTATTACTCACCTTTTCCTTCCAGAAACAGATCCAGAAATTCTGAATACGTCCCGTCAAACCTAAAACTCAATTTTATTCCGTTAAGATGGTTAAAAAGGGATACGCTGACATCTTTGGGATTTCGCATGATGAAGATTGTTCGTATCTTCTTTTCCACCAGCTTTTCCGGCAGATGACGGAAATTTAGATGTGAGTTTAGAACTCTCGGGGAGGGGAGTTCATCAGCCCGCTCAAACTTCGGCATCCCCAACATGGCGATTTCCTTAGCCTTCTTGTTGTACTCAGAGTTACCGGCCTTGAGCATGGTGACGATTTCCCACAACCAGTGGGTACCTGGAAGGATTGGAATAGCACACTGTGAGTACGTGAGTGAACTGGGATCAAATCCTGTTTGAATGGTATTTGTGTTTCGGCAAGCATGATCTACACAGTGCACAGCTCACTAGTCAGGTACGACTAGGCAAGGTTGGTAGATGTTTGAGCTCGTTGCTTGACGTATGATCATGATTTTCTAGTCTCATGGAACCATCTGCTTACTGCAGATTTCAAAAACATTCATTCACAGAATAGATTACTTCTTCATACAGTACATTATCCAGCTTCTTACCACATCTTAACCCGTGAAGGTCCGGGTTAGAATATTGATCTTCAGTAACCCATGCTTGTCGTAAGAGGCGACTAACGGGATCGGGTGGTCAGGCTCGCTTACTTGGTTGACACATGTCATCGGTTTCCAATTGCACAGATCGATGCTCATGCTGTTGGTCACTGGATTGTCTGGTCCAGACTCGATTATTGACAGACCCCCGCCATATAGCTGGAATATTGCTGAGTGCGGCGTAAAACTCAACTCACTCACTCACTCACTCTTACCACATTTAGGATATGCTGCAACCAAGACGTCATCATCTCTCAGTTCGAGTTTCTGAACTTTTCGGGTCATTTCCGTGACATCCTCAGGAGTGGTGTTAATCGACCGGAGGATGCCGTCATGTTTGAAGAAGGACCATCCATGACCATTCTTATTCCGGTAGTCCAGAATCTCAGGAGTTCTACAAAGAATCATTTATTTGGGTTTGGATGATGGTTTAGAATCACTTGTGTGTTGAAACTGCTTGGTGCTACTTACAAAAAAGACAATGGTGCCTTCAAATCAATCAATACATGGATTCTAGCCCTCGCAAGAATCGTAATAATGTGCATTTAGTTGAATGGCAGTCGCATTTAAATAAATGACATCAATACAATATTGAAAGACAAGCTGAGGGTGCAGTTTGATGGAAGGCGTACCTTGCTCTGTTTGCGCCCATGTTTAATTTAACGATGACTTCCCCTGTGATTAGCAGCAAACACATGTACAGTCACGACCAGTTCGCCTCATTTAAAAACAAGATGGCTGCGAAAAAAGCACTGCACTGACACAGAATATGAGAGGAACTTACCGCTGACCCTCCATTTTGATTAGAACGTGCGATCAACGCTTGTAACTGACTTTCTTTAACAGACAACTGTGTCCGTTTCGCGTGACTTTGCTGGTACGCTGAAGAAACCAATGTTCAAGATCCCTGTTAATAAGTAGCACTGTTCCTATCGCCTGTGTAAGTGTTGGTTCCAGGGGACCAGGACAGTACAAGGTACAGGGTGCTGAGCCGAGATCCACCCAACAGCTATTTCAGTCCACCTGACACGCTCTTATCAAGGCTGAAAATGCTAATCATGGATTGGAAAAAGTGTCTGCTATTGACATAACAAACACGTACAGCATATTCGTTGTGCATAGTTGCGTCCCTTGCTGCTGATCTAAATGCATCGTGGTAAAGTTCAAACCCACGTGTCCTCACAACAAGCAATAAAGTACTGGGACCTCTCTTGACACGTGTGTCACCACAATGTGCAATATGCAACTGGGACTGTCTCTAACCAAGGACTGAATGAAGAAGACTCTAGTCTGTCAACTTTTGGGACACCCCTTTTGTGAAATATCTTCCAAATAACACCAGTTGACCACATGTCATTAACGTATATCTTTATGATCCCGTTTGACGTAATAAGAAAATAGTTTTAACTTTGTTGGTCACTTGGGGAAAAGTTACTTAAGTAGCTATCATTAAAATTTCTGTTTGTTTTGATGTCAAGAGACGGGGTGTAGTCGCAGTAAACGTAACAGCTTACGGGTTAGCTCAGAGCGCAATTCACGTGCATGACCGCAGGTCATAAAAGGGGTGTCCCAAAAGTTGAGTTGACCTAGTAACGTGCTTAGACAGAGTTGACACTGACGATTACTATAAAAAAAAAGGTTACTTTAACAACATTGAAGTGCCTCAACTCAGTTTTATCTTGTGCATGACTGGGTCTACGTGCAGGCCTAGCTTGGGGGTGCACACAGATTAAACAGCGACGTGGAAAGTCAACAGTCTGAATCCCAGAGTTGCTCCGATAGTGAACTATGATATGTTTACATTAGACTGCAACAGGGGTAAAATAGCGTCTTCGACCTGCCTTACGCTCTATGTTTTCCTACTGACATAAATTCAGTCTGGTGCAGTGATTTAACTGGAATATCAATTAACGCTCTCAATCAGTCTGTGTTTGATGCTTGTTCAGATATACACTTCATCTGAAAGTATTATCAAAACTCGTGGGGTAGTCTAGTGGTTAAAGCGTTCGTTCGTCACACCGATGACCCTCTAACCATACTACTTGTTTGTTGTCTAACGCCTAACGCAACCATATACTATTAAAAAAAAAAATAATAGTAAAGTATCCCTAAAATTGACACAATTGCAAATAGCATATGTCGAAATAACCCAATTCGGCCTAACTGGGCGTTCAGTGGGATGCGTAATACGACATCCAGAAAAGCATTTTTACTCGTAAAATCGGGCAAAACTTAGCAAAAATACGAATAGCTGCTGAAAACAATAGATCAGACTATAGATGGCAAATAGGTCGCTCAGCCAGGTATGACGACGGACTGTCGACTCACCTGGCATGGAATGCACGTGCTGCCTACAGGCACGAGGGGTCATCTCAAAGATATTTTGTGCTTTTTCATGTGTGTTGACTATGTCTCATCTACTGATTAACATCTTACGTGTCTATCTTTCATAAAGTTTATGTTGAGATATGTAAGAGAGTATGATACCCCGAAAACCACAGAAACGCATCGTAGTATATAGGTGGCATGACCACCAGAAGATCGGCAGGACTGGATATTATTTGTAATTGTTATGACGTGCCGTGTACCTCCCCAGTATAATTGCCCTAAAGGATTATCTTATCTTAGCTGATATCTCTATCCCCAAGCCCGACCCCAGGTTTTGCTTTTGAGGCGACCCCTCCTATCTGTTTCTTTTTATAGTGACAGTGAGACTGCATGGTAGCTACACCCTTAATAGTTTCGGCATAAAAGTTATTATTTTTTACGTCAGCTATCGTTTATAATGAATCTACGTCTAACTTCAAATTGGGCATTTCAAAAGTGTCCTTTGTAATACAATATCGTCCCACACTAATTTGCATAAAGCCATGGTCAGTTCCAAATAAGTCTTTTTGGACTTAGAAAAAAACCGCATTGCTCATTTCTGCACTAATTTCCCTTCAGTAAAGTCCATTTCTCCGTTTCCTATCTCTCTACCACTGAGACTGTAGTTAGGCCGAACTTAGTTTAACAGATATTTCACACTTTCACATATCAACTACATAAATTGTAGAGATAAATGAGAAAATACATTTTTTTTTCTATTTCCGACATTACTTTTTTTTTAGCTATGTGACGACAGTAGGTGAGGTGAGGTGAAATTGGGTTTAACGTCGTGCTTGAGAATATTTCGCTCATATGACGACGTGCATGTGAGTGTATGTGTATGTGCGGCTGCTTGTACTAGCCCAGACTGAAGCTGGTTTTATAGTGCTAGCCCACTGAGATACCGTGCCGCAGTGAAGCATGAATACCCCACTCAGACACATTATACTGACTCCAAGCCGACCAGTCCTTGATGTACCCATTAATGCCGAACGCCAGGCAGGGACCAACAAGTACCATATTTTAACGTCTTTTGGTATGACGCGGTCGGGGATCGAAACCGCGACCTTCGGCTCTCCTGGGGGACGCTCTTACCACTACACCACGGAGATATGACGGCAGTAAATAATCCAATCTGGGTCAGAAAATCCAGTGATGAACAGAATGAACTGGGATACAATGAAATGTGTCAATCACGTCAGCAAGCCTGACCACCCGTTCCCGTTAATTGCCTCTTATCTAACCAAATTAACAGACGTGTAAAACCAATTATTTTGTATGTTTTTATTTATGTTTTACACGTGATGAACAGAGAGAAAAAATAACACGTTTGAAGTCTATACCTTTTCCGAATACATGCATTGTTGTACTTAATGGTGCTAAATGCACTGTAAATCTACATATAAGCAGAATTTTCTTTGTAACATTTAATGTATTTACAAATCAAAGTATGTATTTATGCATTAGGAGTGGATCAGGTGAGCACGGGAACATTTTCCTAGCTTGTAGTTTCACTGAAGTGGTAAAATCCTTTGACAAACGTCAATTTGGCTTTCCTCAAACATTTTACATGCCCTGATGTAACTGATGGACTGTTCACGGCGGTGTAAAACACAAAGCACCCACTCATCGTCATCCATCTTCAAATAACATTGGGTCAGTCCTCGTCTTTCACTCTCATACAGAAGTCACGGGTCAAAATCTCTCTAAGATCAATAGTCACAGATATGCTCAAATAATTGTGATATTTCGCATGTACGTTCTACGACAATATCATGATCACCTTATAAGCCGTTATCTATTCAAACGTGAATACAATGCCAGTGCCTTCAAATGTTCTGTCAATGACGTCATCAAATCTCTCGTTTTCAGCAACAGTTATCCAGTTCTTCCAGTCCCCAATTTCACCTGAAACAACAACATTACACACGTCCATAACTACTACAAGTAATATAAGATGGGATACTCAAGCAGCACATATGACTGAGTCTTCCAATACACTGAGTCAGGCCTAGTGTAAGCAATACATGAATCCTTAAGTAAGTAAGTCATTCATGAATTTGAGATAGTTTGTGAAGCACTTGGTTTCAGGTGGTGCTTTATTAATCCCCATGTACAGGTGAATTTATGACCTACGGTAGAATAGTTTTTTCAATGAATTACTTGAGCCTATTCTACCACACAACAACCAGGAACATACTTGGTACCACACTGACCAACACAGCAACCAACATAATCCTTTAGACCTTCACTTACCTGTCTCTTACCCACGTGTTTATCTCATACTCACCTTTCCTGAAGATTCCTTTGTGACCTTCCTTCCAGTTTTCGGGTGCAGTAACCACATGCTCCTTCAGGTCTGTGTCTGCCGTCCTCAGCTTCTTAAAGCTGCACGCTTCTGCTATTTGCTCACATAGTTCATCGCTGACAGACACCCCAATGAAGTCGGCAACCGTTTTGATGTTCCTAACAGGATCCTAAAATCACAATTTGGGTTATCAGTTATGCCTATTTAGCCTGGACACTGGTCCAGCAGGTTATTAACAGTACAAATTTACAAACCTTTTTCAAGTTTTCATAAAACAGTGTCAAGACAGGCAAATCCGGGTTGTCCTGTTTCACTTGCAGCCAATCCTTCACGTAGTCGGCATAAGCTCCACCGGGAACTGAAACAATGGAAGAAATGATGGAGAAAAACGTCTTAAACAAATATTCAGTCAAAGGTTTTTATCTGAAAAGAACTGCAGACAGCACTCACTGAAGCAGGGAAGCAGCAGAGCAGCCAGCAGCATGTCGGAGCTTCGAAACCAACTCAGGCTCAGTACGTCAGATACTTGAAGATCAAAACTTCAGACAATTGTCTCACGTCAGGGTTTAGACCTACATTCGGAGACCATCACATCAGAACGCGTTAACCCACTTTCAGAGAGTGCAGCACATCGAAGCACATTCACCCAAACAGTTATTTCTTTGTTGTTTAATAGTTCAACTATGCTACGACAGTCTGGAAATAAGCGATTCTCCACCTGACACTGAAGTGAAGTCACCCTGCATGACCACGCCATCCCTTTTGTCGCCGCTTACAACAAAGATGGGAAGCCGCAGATAAATTTAACTGCAAAATCGTCATGGGTAAGTCACGGCTAAAAATGTCAACCTACATTCTAACAGTGCATTACTTCGAATAGAGACCAACATGTCAGGACATTTGAAGACTCAAAAGCAAGGCGTCAGAGATCTGGGAGCCATGATTAGGGCTTAAGTCCAATTCAAGTGGTAGCCCATCAGAGAGTTTTAGCCCACTCCCTGATAGGAACCAATAACCTACATTCAATGAGCAGCATTTCAGAGATTATACACCTACATTCAGTCAGAATAGTATCAAAGAACGATTATATCCACATTTAGACAGTGTTGTACGAAGCAGAGCTTAAACCATAGTCAGCCAGCTTAAATATACATTCAGGTTGTAACTTGATTGTCAGTCAGCAGCATGTCAGACAGTATAACTCTACATTCAGTTAGCAGCATGTCAGACAGTATAACTCTACATTCAGTTAGCAGCATGTCAGACAGTATAACTCTACATTCAGTTAGCAGCATGTCAGACAGTATGGCTCTACATTCAGTTAGCAGCATGTCATACAGTATGACTCTACATTCAGTTAGCAGCATGTCAGACAGTATGACTCTACATTCAGTTAGCAGCATGTCAGACAGTATAACTCTACATTCAGTTAGCAGCATGTCATCCATTATAACTCTACATTCAGTTAGCAGCATGTCAGACAGTATGACTCTACATTCAGTTAGCAGTACGTCAGACAGTATAACTCTACATTCAGTTAGCAGCATGTCATCCATTATAACTCTACATTCAGTTAGCAGCATGTCATCCATTATAACTCTACATTCAGTTAGCAGCATGTTATCCATTATAACTCTACATTCAGTTAGCAGCATGTCAGACAGTATAACTCTACATTCAGTTAGCAGCATGTCATCCATTATAGCTCTACATTCAGTTAGCAGCATGTCATCCATTATAACTCTACATTCAGTTAGCAGCATGTCAGACAGTATAACTCTACATTCAGTTAGCAGCATGTCAGACAGTATAACTCTACATTCAGTTAGCAGCATGTCATCCATTATAACTCTACATTCAGTTAGCAGCATGTCAGACAGTATAACTCTACATTCAGTTAGCAGCATGTCAGACAGTATAACTCTACATTCAGTTAGCAGCATGTTGGTTCGTATAAATCTTCATTCAGTTAGCAGCATGTTGGTTAGTATAAACCTACATTCAGTTAGCAGCATGTTGGTTAGTATAAATCTACATTCAGTGAGTAGCATGTCAGACAGTATAAACCTGCATTCAGTTAGCAGCATGTTGGTTCGTATAAATCTGCATTCAGTTAGCAGCGTGTTGGTTAGTATAAACCTACATTCAGTTAGCAGCATGTTGGTTAGTATAAATCTACATTCAGTTAGCAGCATGTCAGACAGTATAAACCTGCATTCAGTTAGCAGCATGTTGGTTAGTATAAATCTACATTCAATGGCTCTTCAGTGCCATTCCGTGGCCAGGGAGTATCATGTTGGAGCTTGGAAAGCCCTATTGACTTAACATCATTTCACAACGTTTGGATTCACATTCAGACAGCGCAGTCACAGCTCTAAGCCCAAACACGCCTCCATATCACTTACTTTTCCCTTCAAAGAACAGGTTCAGATATTCTGAATATGTCCCGTCAAACCTAAACGAGGTTTTCATTCCGTTGATCATGCAATAATATGATACGCTGACATCTTTGGGATTTCGCATGATGAAGATGGTTTTTATTTTCTTCTCTACCATCTTCTCCGGCAGAAGACGGAAATATAGATGTGAGTTCAGAATTCTTGGTGATGGGAGTTCATCAGCCCGCTCTGACTTCGGCGCCCCCAACATGGCCATCTCCTTCGACTTTTTGTTGTACTCGGTGTTACCGGCCCTGAGCATATTGACGATTTCCCACAACCAGTGGGTACCTGGAGGGATCAGAAAAGACAGCATCACGTGTTTCAACAACATTCGTTCCCGCCATAAAACTTTTTTTTTCATTTTAAGAAAGATAATTTATTGAGGAAATCTTGCAAAACTTTCGCAGTTTCTTACCACATTTGGGATATGCCGCTATCATCATGTCATCGTCCCGTAGTTCGAGTTTCTGAACTTTTCTGATCATTTCCATGTCATTTTCAGGGGTGGTGAAAATCGGCCGGAGAAGGCCGTCATGTTTGTAGTAGGACCATCCATGACCATTCGCATTCCGGTAGTCGAGAATCTCGGGAGTTCTGTGGAGAATCACTGGTTTGGTTTGAATGAACGCCACTTTGAATGATATGAGGTTTGGGTCATTTGTGTAAGGAGCCTGCTTGGTGTTAATTATAAACATGACTATAGTGCCTACAAACCAAGTATCAATATTACATCTAATTAGGGTTCTAGATCTTAAACCTTGCAAGGACGGAAAGATCTGTGAGTGGCAGTGACACATTTGCCTTGCTAGCTCCATTTGTTTGAAAGTAGCGATTGCCTGACCATGATCAACCACAGAACCATGTACATTCGTGACCAATTCGTGCCATTCAAAATGGCCAGATGGTCTCGCCTCATGCGGTATGGTTGAAGCACACAGTAGCTATGCAGGTGATGAGGAAATGAAGTCGTTGTCCAACAAACAAACACGTTTATCGTCGTGTATGAAACATTTTTCGTTGGTTGTAAAAGCAAATAACACCGAATTGATGCAGAAACCTAATGAAGGTAACAAATACTTACTGTTGACCTTCCATATTGATCAGTATGTTTGATCAACGTTTGCAACTGATTTTCTTAACCAGACAACTGTGTACGCCTCGCGTGAATTTGCTGCTACCCTGAAGAACGAATCGTGCCAACGAATGTTCAAATTCCCTGTTAATAAGCAACACTGATCGCTGTTGGCTCTGCTAGCGTCGTCTGTGTAAGTGTTGGTTCTGGGGGACAAAGCCAGGACAGCACAAAGGCCGGGATACTGAGCCGAGATCCACGGAGAGAACAGCTAACAGCGTTAACCTGACGCGCTCTTATAGAGGCTGTAAATGCACGTCATTGATCTGAAAAAAAGGAACACTACTGATATAGCAAACAAGTGCAGTGTTGTGATATGACTGTGCAGGAATTCGCGGTGCAGAGTTGTGTCCCTTAGACAACATTTAAGGCCTCAGCAGAACATTCAGTCATCTTTTTGTATTAAAGATATTGAACACGTTTCCAAATAGTTACTTAGTTCAAAACAGTATAATAATATTTTATCGTTATTTTCAGCTTGTCTGCGTGTATTCGTTCACCTTTTCGCACTGTCCTTCGTCGGCCGGTTTTTTATAATATACATATATTTCATTTCAGTATCAAATGTTCTTGTCACGATATGGCTGAAATATTGCCGATGTGACGTTAAATATTAACTCACTCACTCACTCACTCACCTTTTCGCAAATTCCTGTTATCACCATTTGAAAACGGTTAAAAACACATGTTCAAGGACTTCCATTGTTTGCCAATTCCACAGCGCATCACTTTTACACTCTGTATTCTCGCCTTCAGATGTCTCTCTGGAAGTGCACCTCAATATCTGTCCGACCTCCTTTCTCCATACAAACCAACAAGATCCCTCCTCTCCGAGAAACATAATCTTCTGTGTATTCCATAAGTCAGAACAGTTAAATTTGGTCAAAAACTTTCTCTTATGCTGCGGTCTCAGAGTGGAATCATCTCCAACAACATTAAGAAATTACAGAACTTTCAACCTTTCGAACATCGCTAAAGACCCACCTTTTCCAAACAGCCTTTTCGTCCTGACATCAGCGCTTTGAGCATGCATTGTGCATGGAAATATGCGCTTTATAAATGAACTATTATTATTATTATTATGTTTTACAGATTAAAGATGAAAATGCAGCAGAGAGGGTTCGGGTGATACTGGCACTGTCATCATCAGCTCAGGGACCTCGCCCCCTCTACACGCAGCCCAGGCAGCGAATGGGACTTCTCCCAGGAAACACTGCCTAGTCGAACCCACCAAGAACTGTCCGGAGAATATGAAGGCTCCCAAACACTGCAGCCTTCTGCATTACCCAGAGTGTCAGAAGGGCTGTGCTCCCGGTGGAGAACCCGGGCACTCACCTTATCTGCGCCAAGAGATCAGGAGGTACCAAACCAAGGGCACCAAGAACAATGGGAGCCCGCTATTCACGTTGCTGTCAAAAGGGACAGAAAATTCAATGATTTAAATAAATTCATTGGCTTTATCAAAAAGGACAAGATCAGGTTTGTTGGCAGGAATTCTTCTGAGGCTGCATGTGGGCCTATTCCACAGAAGTTTGAAAGCATCATTTTCCATGAGGCCCTGGACATGTTCAGGGTCGTACCATGGATGGAACTCGGAGTCAAAGCTACGGACATGGCGGAGACGGTAGTAAAAGCAACGAGCCATGCCATCATGTCGTTTAAGATATGCTGTTTGTGCCAAAGAAGGGCATCCACTGACAAGATGCTGGACAGTCTCTGTAAATTCATTACATAGTCGACATTTCATATTGATATTTTCTTTAAGAATCACATTTTGGCGAATACGAGTGGGAAGTGACTCGTCCTGAGCAGCAAAAAGGAAGCACTCAGTTTCACATTTAAGACCAGCCGACTTTATTCAGGCGAAAGAGTATGTGGGATTGCTATTCTGTTCAACACACTGCATGTACACACGATGCAATAGCTTCTCAGAAAGCTTATCCACAAAAGATCAAATCTGGGCATACTTGGTGAAGGACTTTACCTGGTATACTCCCATCACCGTCCAGCAGTACATCGCCATCAACCTCAAATCTCAGATTCTGTCCAACAACCTTGGCACGCTTAAAATAGCTGTGGAATTCCTTGCTTTCATCATGAGTCTTCACATGTATCACCAGAGGATCATCCGATAAATTAATATGTGCAAAAGTACACAATAAAATTCTATCATGAAGAGCTTCCACATTAATCAAACCCCGACCTCCAGAATTGATTGGCATGTATAAACGGTTAAGAGAGGAACGAGGGTGGTGGGCTCTGTTATCAGACATGATCCTTCTGGTCAGACGGTCAAGACTCTGGATGTCTTGTTTTGTCCAATCAACTACTCCAAAGGAATAGGAAAGGACTGGCACAGCAAAAGTATTGGTGGCTTTGACCTTGTTTCGAGCATTTAGCTCTGAGCTGCAGATTTTCTTTAAGCGAGATTTGTACTCGGCCAGAAGTTTTTCTTGAATCTGGGCATTTTGGAGCTTATCTCGAACTTGCATTCCAAGATAGGTGTAGACCTGATCTTCCACAAGATGCTCAATAACTCCTCCCCCTTGTAACTTGACCGATCCATCATCATTAACTACCTTGCCACGTTTCAAAATGAAGAGTATTACATTTGTCGAGCCCAAATGTCATGCCAATATCATTTGAAAAGGACTCGACAAGGAGAACCTGCTCTTTCAAATTGGTACTTCCTTTGGCAAGAAGCTCGATGTCATCCATGTAAAGGAGATGGGTAAGCGGTGTTGGGCATCTGTGCTGAGGAGGTCCGGGATGGTAACTCTCCTCTTTTTTGAGCAGAAAGCTCAAAGGATTTAGAGACAAACAAGGACTGAAGGAGTCCCCCTTGAAAAGTCCCCTTCTGATTGGAATAGATTCCGAAGTCTGCACCTGCCCTTGCGAGTACAAGTTGAGTCGACCAGCAACTCATTAAAGACTTGAGTAAATCAAGTAGTCGCTCAGGGAGGTCAATACAACGCAGAGACTTCAGAATCCATTCATGAGGGACAGAGTCGTATGCTTTTTTGTAGTCAATCCAGCACATGGAGAGATTGCGGTGATATGTTTTAGCCTCTTCCAAAATCATTTTCTGTACAAGAAGTTGATCCTTGCACCCCCAACATCCCTTTCTTGCTCCCGTCTGCTCTCTGTAAACTATATATTGGAAGAGCAGTAAGCTGTCAAACACCCTGTGAATATTTTGTATTGTGTATTCAAACATGTGATAGGGCAGAAGGTTTTGGGATCAGTCAAGTCTCCTTTCTTGGGGAGAAGTATTGTGCGACCTTTGCAGAACCATGGAGGAACATCACCTGTGTCCACGATAGTATTGAAACAGTGTAGTAATGGTGTTTGGACACAGGGGAACAGTTTCCAATACCGGTTTCGAATGCCATCAGTCCCTGGAGCTGTATTAGATTTGGACTTTTTGATAACACTTTTCAGGCAATCTGGTGAGATGTAATAGACAAACGACCTAGTTACTTCTCATGCATTGCATGGTCATAATCACGGACCCGACGGTGCCTCAAGGTTAAAGTCGCCGGGTACAGACCACAACTATTTCCAGAACCTTTTATTGGCATCCATGGGAGGCCGGTTATCATGCTCACCATCACCGCTTGTTTTAAGTTGCCTGTAGAAGTGCTTTTCATTATTTCTAAAAAGTTTATTTTGTCGATGAATTTGTTTTTCTTTTCCCATTTTTTTTTTCTTTCAGCCCAAACTTTTATTTTTGCCTTTTTGAAATACCTTTTCTTATGTTGTCTTGTACTGTAATTTTAATTTTCTCCAAATTGACTTCCAAATTTGACATTGGACTTCCTGATGATCTTATTTTCAGGCACAACTCTATCCAGGAAATGTATTTTATTATTATGTTCATAAAAGAATTTCGTACAACTGATTCCGGGAGAGACTTACTACGAACATTAAAAGGTTAACCTTGCCTGTCACTGCTTATCATCACATGGGTACAATGAGTGAAGCCCATTTCTAGAGTCCCCCGCCGTGATATTGCTGGAATATTGCTAAAAGCGGCGTAAAACCAAACTCAGTCAGTCAGTCAGTCACTGCTTGTCAGGTGTTGGGATCAGGTGCTTCCAGTCTGGCTCCCTGTTCTGTTTGTGTCTGCTTTTCGGGAGTTGGGATCAGGTGCTTGCAGTCGTAATCTTCCATTGCCGCTGTTGACAATTACCTGGCCTTTGCATGTGTTAGTGCGAACGTCGATGCATTATAAGCTCACGTGTGTGCGAACACCTGGTACCGTCACTGTTTTAACGGTGAACCCTTATGATAGTGCTTATTGAAATGGTTTTGTTTGCTTCTATTCATCATACCAAAGGGATCACAAACAAAAGTTCCAACCCTAGTCACCAAAGTCTCGTTATGATGGTGCAATGAATGCCAACCTACTTGTTTGTGTCCTCACGTGTACACATGTACGTCATCATGGATCCGAATGTGCAATAAAAGGGATTGCCAAAGGTGTTGTATAGGCGTGCTAATATCTGTGATTCAGGGATCGAAACTAACGGGTCGCCGTGGCTGTGATTCAGCATGTTAAACACGCTCGAGGGTTCCATCAAGCACGCTCGAGGGTTCCATCAAACACGCTCGAGGGTTCCATCAAGCACGCTCGAGGGTTCCATCAAGCACGCTCGAGGGTTCCATCAAACACGCTCGAGGGTTCCATCAAGCACGCTCGAGGGTTCCACCAAACATGCTCTAGGGTTCCATCAAACACTCTCGAGGGTTCCATCAAACACGCTCGAGGGTTCCATCAAACACCCTCGAGGGTTCCATCAAACATGCTCAAGGGTTCCATCAAACACGCTCGAGGGTTCCATCAAACAAGCACGCTCGAGGGTTCCATCAAACACGCTCGAGGGTTCCATCAAACATGCTCGAGGGTTCCATCAAACACGCTCGAGGGATCCATCAAGCACGCTCGAGGGTTCCATCAAACACGCTCGAGGGTTCCATCAAACACGCTCGAGGGTTCCATCAAACATGCTCGAGGGTTCCATCAAACACGCTCGAGGGTTCCAAGTAACATGCTCGAGGGTTCCACCAAACATGCTCAAAGGTTCCATCAAACACGCTCCAGGGTTCCACCAAACATGCTCGAGGGTTCCATCAAACATAGTCGAGGGTTCCATCAAACACGCTCGAGGGTTCCATCAAACACGCTCGAGGGTTCCATCAAACACGCTCGAGGGTTCCAGGGTTCCATCAAACACGCTCGAGGGTTCCATCAAACACGCTCGAGGGTTCCATCAAACAAGCAACGGATTCTTCAGCTCTGGCTTTCCTCATACATAACGCTGCCACGGAATTTGGCCTAAGTAGCCTAAAAACAAACTCATCCAGAAATTATGTTCATGAATATGATTTATTCTTCGTTCACTTGTCATAAACAGTAATACAAGCTTCAACTCCATAACATTTTTAAAAGCATGCAGTATAAAAATCAAATATCGGTAAATACATTGTAAATGTTCAGTTACTTATATTTCCCTTTGCTGTTATTACGTGGGTAACAATTCTTGACGGCAGAACTCACTCATCCACATCCATCTTGAATCACATTGATTGATTCATCCAAACTTTACCTCGGTTTCAGAGTCAACAATATAATGTGAAAGGGTCATAAGTTAAACTCTGTGGTTTGACATGAACATACAACATAAAGCTAAACGTTTGTAGATATTTCCTGGATGATATTTGGCAATCAGTGTCCACAACCCCGTGATCACCATATAACGGTTATTCATACGTGAATACAATGCCCGTTCCTTCAAATCGGCGCTCAATGACGTTATCAATTTTTTCGCTCTGGGCAACTGTTATCCAGTTCTTCCAGTCCCCAATCTCACCTGAAACAACAACAGCACATCAGTTCTGAAGTCCAAAGTCACACAATACATGATAAAGTCCCTAAGGTAATTACCTCCCTAAGTACGCCATACGTGAGGTCCACTTCATGCCCTTTCTGTCTCCGGTCTTTATGTAATGAACGAAGGAAACGTAGAAAACAATGACAAACAGGATCGAAGGCCAATCTCACCTTTTCTATATATTCTTTGGTGACCTTCCTTCCAGATGTCGGACGGATTACCGGTATGCTGCTTGACTTCAGTGTCAGCGGCCCTCATCTTCTTAAAGCTGCACGCTTCTGCTATTTGCTCACATAGTTCATCACTGGCAGACAATCCAAGGAACTCGGCAACCGTTCTGATGTTTTTAACAGGATCCTAAAATCAAAGGAATAAGGGTTATCATCCCGAAAAAAATGTTATAAGAATATAGAATTATGGATAGTCCAGTACACTGAAGATAAACGTATAACTAAATAACAAATAAGCATCAGTACAGTTAACTAAAGATACACCATGATATGCCCTAGGAACTGATGCCATACCTTCCAAATATAATTGTTAAACGAGAAATGCACACTGAAAAAAAACTCGCCCCTTTTCTCAAATCATGTGACAGCGGCACGTCAAAACTGCTAAAAACAAGCAAAAACATGCACTTATATTTCATGGCATTTAAAATGAGCAAGAAATTGACGATCGATACTAATGCACTTGATCAGTTAGCAACTCTCAACAGATGACATGCACATGACGCTGAACGTATCCAGCTGAACGTCATCAGTCACTGTGATCAACCCCCAGTGTTTACATTCAAATATTCAAACCATGTAACCAGCAAACCATTATGACCATCTTGTCGACATAAGGCATCTAGTTCAACTCAAACCTTTTTCAAGTCTTCATAAAACAATGTCAACATTGGCAAGTCCGGGTTGTCCTGTTTCACTTGCAGCCAATCCTTCACGTAGTCGACATAATCACCAAGCATCACTGAAACATGGAAGGAATTTTAAATGGCATGTATGTATAAACACGGATGTGTCTATGAAACAAATGGCAGAGGTGAAGCAACGATATGCCACCCGCAGCATTTCAAACCAAGATTCAAGTCGGAGCATGTTGCTCACATGACATCAGCATCTGAAAGCGTGTAAATACCCATTCAGAGACACAGTAACAGATCAGAGCATCTGAACCTACATTCACACGTAAGCATTTCAAGGCATTTGAACCTGCATTCTCACAGTAGCACTTCAGGAATGCCGGAAGTAATGCACGTCCGAAATGTTTCCACCATTTTGAAACCCACAAGCACGGCTATGGTGCTAGCAAGCCTATAAACATGGCCTGGTTTGAAACCCACAGTTCAAACCCACAAATTTCACAGTGAATTGTGATGCCTTAAACGAGACAACGTAAACTATATTAGGTTTAACGGTTGAAGACACGGACAATTAGTAGAATATCTGCTTTTTTCTGTAACTGTTAATTAAACATAGCAATTATGCCTTCAGATTAATATAAACAAGTAAATGTATGGTGATAAACTCATTATACCACCCCACTCTGTTATGGCCATCAGGCTTGGTATGACGTAACAGCATCACTCACTTTTTCCTTCCAGAAACAGATCCAGAAATTCTGAATACGGCCCGTGAAACCCAACGCTCACTTTTAGTCCGTTGAGATGGTTATAATAGGATACGCTGACATCTTTGGGGTTTCGCATGATGAAGATTGTTTTTATTTTCTTCTCCACCAGCATTTCCGGCAGATGACGGAAAAATAGATGGGAATTTAGAACTCTTGGGGAGGGGAGTTCATCAGCCCGCTCAAACTTCGGCATCCCCAACATGGCGATTTCCTTCCCCTTCTTGTTGTACTCAGAGTTACCGGCCCTGAGCATGTTGACAATTTCCCACGACCAGTGGGTACCTGGAGGGATCAGAATAGACAGCATAGTGTAAGTGAGTGTTTGAATGGTGATTGTGTTCCGGTCAGCATGATCTACACGGTGCCCAGCTCACAAAGGTTAGGTTAAGTAATGTTGGTAGATCGATGGGTTCACTCAAGGTTGTGTCATACAACCACCTGCTCAGTTTTAAAAAAAACCCATTCATTCAGACAATAGATTACTCACTCATACAATACATTGTTCAGCTTTGGCTCTTACCACATTTGGGATATGCTGCAATCAAGACGTCATCGTCCCTAAGTCCGAATTTCTTAACTTTTTGGATCATTTCCATATCAGCTTCAGGGGTTGTAACAATCGCCCGGAGAAGGCCGTCATTTCTGTAGAAGGACCATCCATGACCATTCTCATTCCGGTAGTCCAGAACCTCGGGGTTTCTATGAAGAATCACTTGTTGGGTTTGATTTAACGCTGTTTTGAATGTTATGACGGTTTGTATTCATTGGTGTGAGGAGCCTGCTTAATGCTACTTACAGAAAAGACTATTTTCCCACAAACCAAGGATCAATATTATGTCGAACCTGGGTTTGGACTTCGTGGATTCTAGCCCTCGTAAGGGACGCAAGAATGTGCAGTTAGTTGAGTGACAGTCGCATTTAGATAAATGATATCAATGGAAACGTGAAAGACAAGTTGCAGTTACAATTTTAAATTTAAAGATTACTTCCCCTGTGGTTAACATAATGCACACGTACACTCGTGACCAATTCTCCTCATTTGGAAACAAGATGGCTACGGAAAAAAGGACTGCACTGACACAGAATAATCAGAGGAACAAGTATAGTACTCACCGCTGACCCTCCATATTTATCAGTACGTGGTATCAAAGCGTATAACTGACTTTTTACAATACACAACTGTGTACAATCGCGTGACTTGCTACTACTCCGAAGGGAGAACCGTCCCAACCAATGTTACAGTTCCCTGTTAATAAGTAGCACAGTTCGTGTCGACTGTGTAAGTTTTGATTCTAGGGGAGCAGGGCGAGGACTTCTCCACGCGAGGATGTTGAGGCTAGATCCAGTCGACCTGACACGCTCTTATCAAGGCTGATTATGCAAGTCATGGATCTAGAAAAAAAGTACGTTATTCAAGTTGTTATTCAAACAAGTGCAGTATATTCGCTGTGCAGACTTGCGTCTGTAGGGCACCCCGAAAACTTATGACGGTGGTATGTGGAATGCCAGTTGAATATATTTCCTGGCTTCTCTACGCCATACCCATAGGTGTAGGTGGGAATAGAGGACTGCACTGACGCAGAATAATGAGAGGAACAAGTACTTACCGCTCACCTTCCATAATGAACAGTACTTGCGACCAACGCTCGTGATTGACTTTCTTGAACACACACCCGTTACTCTTGGCTACGAAACTGAAGAAGTTATCACCCCAACCAATGTTCGAGTTCCATGTTAAAAAGGAGCCCTGTTCGTGTCGACTGTGTAAGTGTTGATTCTAGGGGAGCAGGGCAAGGTCAGCTCTACACGAGGATGTTGAGGCTAGATCCAGTCGACCTGACACTCTCTTACTGTTTATGCAAGTCATGGATCTAGAATAAAAAGTACAAGTGAAATATATTCGTTGTACAGAGTTGCGTCCCTTAGGGCACCACAAAAAACCTATCTAAATATTTAATGTGTTTTGTGAAAGGCCAGTTCACACTGGATAATTTCCAGGCATCCCCACGCTATTCCCACAGGAGTAGCTGGGTTGGATGAATGGTGAATGTGATCAATTGTTACGCCAGGAATTTGTTAATTGCTTCAAGCATCAGTTAAGAAGATCCGACAAAAAAAGGACTCTCCAGTGTAATATTTCCAATGTGTCAGCGACCCACGTTAACTGTTCACATAAGCCAGTGTATTGTCATAGAAAGGGGCTATAAGTCATCACGGTACAACCTTGCTGCTGTATTGTCATAGAACAGGGCTATAAGTCATCACGGTACAACCTTGCTCGGGTATTGGTATAGAAAGGGGCTATAAGTCATCACGGTACAACTTTGCTGCCGTATTGTCATAGAAAGAGGCTATAAGTCGTCACGGTACAACCTTGCTACGGTATTGGTATAGAAAGGGGCTATAAGTCATCACGGTACAACTTTGCTGCCGTATTGTCATAGAAAGGGGCTATAAGTCATCACGGTACAACCTTGCTACAGTATTGGTGTAGAAAGGGGCTATCAGTCATCATGGTACAACCTTGCTGCTGTATTGTCATAGAAAGGGGCTATAAGTCATCACGGTACAACCTTGCTGCTGTCTTGTCATAGAAAGAGGCTATAAGTCGTCACGGTACAACCTTGCTACGGTATTGGTATAGAAAGGGGCTATAAGTCATCACGGTACAACTTTGCTGCCGTATTGTCATGGAAAGGGGCTATAAGTCATCACGGTACAACCTTGCTACAGTATTGGTGTAGAAAGGGGTTATCAGTCATCATGGTACAACCTTGCTGCTGTATTGTCATAGAAAGGGGCTAAAAGTCATCACGGTACAACCTTGCTGCCGTATTGTCATAGAAATGGGCTATAAGTCATCACAGTTCAACCTTGCTGCTGTATTGTCATAGAAAGGGGCCATAAGTCACCACGGTTCAACCTTGCTGCTGTCTTGTCATAGAAAGGGGCTATAAGTCATCACGGTAAAACCTTGCTGCTGCCTTGTCATAGAAAGGGGCTATAAGTCATCACGGTACAACCTTGCTGCTGTCTTGTCATAGAAAGGGGCTATAAGTAAACACGGTACAACCTTGCTTCTGATCTAAATAAAATTGCACAGATAGATTGTGTTCTCTCTAAAGCCAATGCACTTCCTGGCATATCTCCGCGTGTTTGTGTTTCACATCAAATTTTTACCTGAACTGAGTGAGTGAATTTTCCAATTTTCGCCAGTTGCGAGTATGCCACCAAGGTATATGTGACGCGCCCGTGGTTTGGCCATGAGATATAAACATACAACACACATAAACGTAATGCACCTTGCTTCTATTAGCGTCACAGATACTCGTCCCAGATTTTGTCCTATGCACGTTATGAATGTGACCCCTGGCAGGTGAGATATAAACATACAATATACATAAACGTAATGCTACCGTTATGAATGTGACCCCTGGCAGGTGTGATATAAACATACAATATACATAAACGTAATGCACCTTGCTCCTACTTGCTTCACAGACACTCGTCCCAGATTTTGACCTATGCTGGTTATCAATGTGACCCTTTGTAGGTATAAAATAGTGGAACGTGGTAACTAGTGTGTGATACTTACAGTTTTCAATAACATGTACCGCCATAAAATATCTGTTAAGCTTTGTCAGTTTCCTCTGTGTTAATACAATAGTTATGAGAAGACCTTTCTTCTGATTATGGAAATGGTTTTGTTTTCCATATATCTTTTCATACCAAAGTGACTTAGACTACAACAGACATTTGCCACCAAAGGCTCGTTCTGGAGGTATAATGAATGTCAACCTAAGTACTTGTGTGCTAACATATGTATATTAAAACGCGTATGTTGGGGAATCAGCTCGCTTGGCAAGAGGTCTGACAATACCAACTCACACACAACACAACACCTGGATAAATAAACAAGGATTTTATTACACACCGGTCACATGATCATTTTAACATTATCATTCAATAATAGTATGTGCTACAATTATAGTAATCAATCACATTTCAAGGTAAATAGTTCAATATTATACATATCAACCCAGTGAGCGTTCATGCAGCACCAGGTGCGGTGGGGTAGCCTAGTGGTTAAAGCGTTGGCTCGTCACGCCGAAGACCCGGGTTCGATTCCCCACATGGGCACAATGTGTTAAGCCCATTTCTGGTGTCCCCCGCCGTGATATTGCTGGAATATTACTAAAAGCGGCGTAAAACTAAACTCAGTCAGTCAGTCAGTCATGCAGCACCAAACAACATAGTGCCTCATAACACAATGTAATAGTCAGTGTGCCCGACACACTCTATACAATCTACACATCACCCTAGTGGGTATTCATACAATGTACATTCTACAACAGTCACTAAACAGCATAGTGTTGGCACGTAATGCAATCTATACACATCACCCCAGCGGGCATTCATACAATGTACATTCTACAACACTCACTAAACAGCATAGTGTTGGCACGTAATGCATCGTTAGGGTCACGACACACTCTATACAATCTACACATCACCCCAGCGGGCATTCATACAATGTACATTCTACAACACTCACTAAACAGCATAGTGTTGGCACGTAATGCATTGTTAGGGTCACGACACACTCTATACAATCTACACATCAACCTAGTGGGTATTCATACAATGTACATTCTACAACAGTCACTAAACAACATCGTGTTGGCACGTAATGCATCGTTAGGGTCACGACACACTCTATACAATCTACACATCAACCCAGTGGGCATTCGTACAATGTACATTCTGCAACAGTCACTAAACAACATCGTGTTGGCACGTAATGCATCGTTAGGGTCACGACACACTCTATACAATCTACACATCACCCCAGTAGGCATTCATACAATGTACATTCTACAACAGTCACTGAACAGCATAGTGTTGGCACGTAATGCATTGTTAGGGTCACGACACACTCTATACAATCTACACATCAACCCAGTGGGCATTCGTACAATGTACATTCTGCAACAGTCACTAAACAACATCGTGTTGGCACGTAATGCATCGTTAGGGTCACGACACACTCTATACAATCTACACATCACCCCAGTAGGCATTCATACAATGTACATTCTACAACAGTCACTGAACAGCATAGTGTTGGCACGTAATGCATTGTTAGGGTCACGACACACTCTATACATACTATAATAGCCACAAAACAACATAGAGTTGATCATTATCAAATAAACATTCCTAAACAGTAATACAGAGTAATTGAGAAAGATATTAAACGACGCCACGTTCCACATATCCGACACACGTTATACAATCTACAGTAGCCACAAGCCAACGTGACCGCCTCCGTGGTGTAGCGGTAAGAGCGTCCGCCCGGAGACTGGAAGGTCGCGGGTTCAATCCCCGACCGCGTCATACCAAAAGACGTTAAAATATGGTACTTGTTGGTCCCTGCCTGGCGCTCGGCATTAATGGGTACAACAAGGACTGGTCGGCTCGGAGTCAGTATAATGTGTCTGAGTGGGGTATTCATGCTTCACTGCGTCATGGTATCTCAGTGGGCTAGCACTATAAAACCAGCTTCAGTCTGGGCTAGTACAAGCAGCCGCACATACACATACACACGAATGCACGTCGTCATATGAGCGAAATATTCTCAAGCACAACGTTAAACCCAATTCCACCTACCTAACAAAATAACGTAGAATTATTATTTATTATCAAATAAACATTCCTAAACAGTAACCTAACCATCGATGGCCAGTCGCGAGGATGCCACGAAGGTATATGTGGCACGCACGTGATTTGGCCAACGTGGAATACAAACAGCCGTAAAGACAGATGAACGTATTGCACCTTGGTTCTATAAGCTTTAATAGATACTGGTCCCGGATTAAGTCCGATGCTCGTTATCAGTGTGACCCATGGCAGGTTTAAGATTGAGGAACGTGGTCAGTTAGTCTGTAATACATTGTATTTCCAATTTTCAATAACATATCATGTCATAATCCATAGCCTGTTTTTATACTGTATTGTCATACATAGTTATAATGTTTTATAGTTCATTATTAGTTTTGAATTGAAATCTGTGATAAACTAGTTACTTTACTGTCCTTCGTTGACAGAGTTTAATAATTTTCCCGTATTTATTATGAAATTATACCTTGTTTTTAGTCACGATATGGCTGAAATATTGCCGATGTAACTGAAAATCTTAATTCACTCACTCACCCACCCATATGATGTCATAAAATATTGGTAAAACTTTGTCCAATCTTTCCGTGTTAATATGTATATCGTCGTGGATCAGAGTGTGCAATAAAAGTGAAATCTCTCGTGTGGCCGAGTGGTCAAAGGTGTTGTAAAGAGTGAACAAAGGTGTTGTAGTGAGTGATTGATGTCAGTCTTGTTTTAAGACGCTTTTAGCAATATTCCAGCAATATTACGGTGGGGACATCAGAAATGGGCTTCACACATTGTACCCATGTGGGAAATTGAACCCGGGCCTTGGGCGTGACGCGCGAACACCTTAACTCAACCGCCCCAAAGGTGTTGGAAAGGCGTGCTAGTATCTGTGACTGAGGAATCGAAACTAACGGGTCACCGTGGCTGTGATTAAGCATCTTACACGTGTTTCAGGGTTCCACCAAACAAGCAACAGCTGCTTTAAAGTTGCCACGAAAAAGGGTCAAGCAGCGTAAAGACAAACTCACCCAGAAATCGTATTTACAGACATATAAAACTTTCATAGACTTGTTTTATTCTTTGTTCATGTGTAACAAACAGTAACATTATGATAAATTACAAGTTTCAAGTCTAAAGTTCTAAATACACGCTGTATGAAACCCAGATACTGGTAAATACATTGTAAATATACATTTTCTTATATAGACTCCTTAAATAAAGTAGAGGAACTGCAGTTTAAATTTACGATTGAAATAATTGAGAGATATATCGGATTCAATCACATCTTGATCAAAATTAAAAGTTCAGGTTCCCCTACTTTTTGTAAAGAGTGTATTTCCCTCAGTTGTTTTGATGGTATATAAGTCGGATAACGGTTCATGGAACAACACAAACACAACTCACTCACTCGTGTAACAACATTGATTGATTCTTCCTAACTTTAACTCCATTTCAGTGTTAGCAAAATAACTTGAAAGGGTCAGAGGTTAAACACTGAGGTTTGACATGAACTTACAACATAGAGGTTAGCATTTATAGATATATCCTGGATAAGGTTTGGTGTTTCGTGTCCACAACCCCATGATCACCATATAACGGTTATTCATACGTGAATACAATGCCCGTTCCTTCAAATCGGCGCTCAATGACATCATCAAAGTTTTCGTTCTGGGCAACTGTTATCCAGTTCTTCCAATCCCCAACTTCACCTGAAATAGCACATTAATTCTTATGTTCAAAGGTTAGTAATAAAATACAGGCCAATAAGTAATTACATTACTAACTACTTCATGTACGTCATTCATGAGTAATTCCTGAAATAAGTAACACAGAAACAGTTCTGTAATTTGTAAGTGTCACAAAGCTTCATCTGAACACTGCCTCTTAGGTTACCCTCAGATCAAGTTATTTGTATTTTGTGGCAAATTATACTGTACATTAGTTTGACCTATACATCCATGTTTCCATGAATAAGCCCTTCAGTAAGATATGTATGATTGCATCCTTAAATAGCTACAGATGTTATACTATTCTGACGCACGTGTGTCCTACAACAAATAACATCATAATTGGACCTACTCTAAACCACGTACTTCTCACAACAAGTAACAGTAATAGTACTTGGCCCAACACGATTTAATGTATGAACGGCACGTAGAAAACAATGGCAAACAGGTTTAAAGGACAATCTCACCTTTCCTATACAGTCCTTGGTGACCTTCCTTCCAGACGTCGGATTGCTTTCTGGTGTGCTCCTTGACCTCAGTGTTTGCAGCCCTCAGCTTCTTAAAGCTGCACGCTTCTGCTATTTGCTCACATAGTTCATCGCTGACAGACACTCCAAGGAACTCGGCAACCGTTCTGATGTTCTTAACAGGATCCTAAAATCAACCTAATAAGGATTGTCATCCCGAAGAAGGGTTGTAGAAACACCTTACCTTTGCACTATATGCAGTACAATTGTCGTTGAAGAAATACAGAATTATGGACAGTCCAGTATACTAAAAGTAAACGTATGTTTAAATAGCAAAATATGCCCCAGTACAGTTAACTAAACATATATAATGATATACCTACAAGGAATTAATTATATACCTTCCAAATATTACCAGATTATTAATCGAGAAAGACAAACTAACAAAACACTCGCCACTTTACTTCAAACCCTGCGACAGCAGCACATAACGACTGACAGACTAACTGAAATATGCACATATGTTTCATAGCATTTAAAATGAGAAAGAAATTGATGATCGATGTTAATGCACTTGATACGGGTGTTATAGGCAATATCACACGCATCATATCAATTAGCAACTCATCAGATGACATACACATGACGCAGTTATCTGCGAATTTCAAGTTAAATAAACGTATCCAGCTGAACGTCATCAATTACTGTGATGAACCCCCAGTGTTTACATTCATATCTTCAAACCATGTACCCAGCAAACCATTATGACCAGTTTGTCGACATAAGGCATCTAGGTCAAGTACAAACCTTTTTCAAGTTTTCATAAAACAATGTTAACATTGGCAAGTCCGGGTTGTCCTGTTCCACTTGCAGCCAATCCTTCACGTAGTTGACATAATCACCAATGCCCACTGAAACATTGGAAGGAATTTTGTATAAGCAGTAGCTCGTCAGAGAATTAAAATCTTCTTTCATTCGCACAAACGTCCACATAGGTGCACGACATACATCGTATTTAAGAATCAGTTCAAACCAAAATTCCGGGACCAGCTCGTCAGATTGCTTAAAAACATACTGACAGAGAAATACGTTAGAGTGTTAAAAGACGCGTGTAGAATTTATTTATTTTTTTAAATCGTGAAAGACCCATTCAGACACACCGTAACGGATCAAAGCATCTGAACCGATATACACACAGTAGCACTCCAGGGCATCTGAACCCACATTCACACAGCATCATGTGCATGCATCTAAACCGACTTTCAGGAGCAGCTCTTCAGAGGATTAATATCTACATTCAGCCAGCGGAACGTCAGAACATTGTACACGTAGGAGCACCATATTCAGATAGCAACATTCCAGAGCAGTTAAATCCACATTCATAAAGAAACTCAAGCATTTAAGTCAACATTCACTTAGCAGACCCTGGGAGCGTTTAGACCTACAGTCCATCAACAACAAGTCAGAACATCTAAACTACAGTCAGGCAACATCGTTTAAGTCCATATTTGACAGCATCACGTCACAGAATTTCTACCATGTCAGAACATTGAAACCCGTATTCAGGAAACTGTAGGTCAGAGCATTTCAACTCATTTGCATGGAGCAGCATTTCAAAGAGTTTTAGCGTACATTTAGGCACAGCACATCAAAGCATCCAAACCCACATTCAGGCAGATTACGTCAAGATGTTCAAACCCACATTGTAAAAAAAGAATAGCAGGTCCTTTCAGCCCACATTCAGAAAGGAGCATGTGAGTATTGGAACCCATTTCAGGACAGTACATTATCAAGTGTACCACATATGATCCTACGTTCAGGAAGCAAATTTAGTTTTAGGTATTGGTACTACTATAGCGTCACGCCATGAGGGAGGAAATTTACCTGACGTCCAAATATCATCAAAAATATTTTTAAAAGTCTCTAGACAGGATTCTTGTAAGTGCTTCAGGAGTTGATAATGTATGTTATCAGCTCCTGTAACAGTATGGTGAGCTTGTTCAAGAGCAGTATGGAGCTCATGAATAGAAAATAGTTCATTATAATCTTCCCCATTATCTGAATTGAAATTAATAGATTTCTTTTCTTGTTGCTTTTTATATTGTTGGAATTTAGGCACATAATTAGAAGAGGAAGAATGTTTAGCAAGAGTTTCACCCAGTTTATTTGCAATATCTGATTATCGGTTAGCAATTGATGTCCATATTTATGATGATGGATGCTAGATTTAGTACCTTTACCTTTAATTCTCTGGACCATGTTCCACACCTCTGTTTGAAGGTACGCCGCGCTTAAGCATTCATAATTTTGAATTTATTTAAATTATGCACCATAGGGTGGCGACGGAAATAATGTTCTGCTTTTTTCCTTGCCTTCCTAGCTTGTTTGCACTCATCGTTGAACCAAGGTTTTCGAATATGTGGAATTGCAGATGACTTTGGTGTACACTCATCAGCTATGATGTTCAGTTCATCAGAAAAACATTTGATAGCATCAGGAACATCAACAAAAAATTCAGGTTTAAGTTTCGTAACACACAGCATTTCATAAAGAGGCCAGTTAGCCTTTCTAAAATTCCATCTTGATGATGAAGGAATATCAGATGGGGTTACAGGTTTTAGTAAAGTAGGAAAATGGTCACTTCCACAGAGGTCATCGTGAACTGACCATTCAAATTCATTCAGTAAGTTGGAGTCAGTTATTGACATATCAAGAGCTGAATATGTTCCTGTGCCAGGATGTAAATATGATTTTGTACCATCATTATATATACGTAAATTATTATTTGAAATTAAATCCTCCTAAACTTGTCCTTTTGCGTTTGTGGTCACACCACCCCAGAGAGGGTTGTGCCCATTCAAATCACCCATGAATATACAAGGCTTGGGTAGTTGATCGTAGAGAGTTTGTAGATCAGCCTGCTGAAGAGTTGATGAAGGTGGAATGTACAATGAACACAGAGTAAGTGTAATGTTCAAAGTAATTCGCACTGCAACTGCTTGAAGATTAGTTTTGCGTGTAACAGGGCTATGAATAACATCATGCCTTACAAGGATTGATGATCCTCCAGTGGCCCTATCACCAGGTGGAGAAAAATAATGATATGCATTATAGTGACGGAAGTTAAAAGTATTTGTCTGCTTGAGATACGTTTCTTGCAAGCAGAATGCTGAAGGTTTAAAGTCTTGGACTAATAGGTGCAGTTCATTAAGATTAGTCTTTCGGCCTCTGCAATTCCACTGAATAATATGTGAAGAAACTACTTCTTTGGAGGGCCTATTGGGGGTCTACCCCTTGCTTTTCTTGAGGGCGACAAGCTATGTGCCCTAATTTGGATATTTTCGGACACATCCATGTCCTCTAAGGATCCGAACTTATTAAAAAGTTGGATTGTGTCATTTGAACCTTTGGAGGCTCTGCTACTTTGACATTTTTGCAAATCATTTCTGGCTTTGATTTTATTTTTGGTAAGATGATTCCCATTATTTTGTGATTGATGTTTTGGTATGGGCTGTGATGATAATGACGATGATTGTTCTTAAGTAGATGACCGTGACTGAACTTGAACTGTTTTTGGAATTGATTCAGCAGTCTGAGTGTTAAGGTTTTTCTGTATCCACCCATGTCAGATCAGTTTGGCACAGTGTTGATGAAGTGGATACAGTTGCTTTGTGACTGACGACAGAGGGTGCTCTCGTAATTGAGGCATAAGATGTATTTGGTTCCGGTGTGGGAACAAGACGTTTCTTAGCATCAGCAAAACTGATATTCTGTGTAAATTTAATTTTATTGATCTCCATTTGTTCCTTCCAGATTGGACAGTGTTTAGAGAAAGAAGGATGTGTCCCAGAGCAGTTGACGCATTTTTTAATGGTATTATTGCAATCCTCAGTAACATGAGTTTTCTCACTGCAATGAGCTCATGTTACCAAGTTAGTACAGTTATTGGCACCGTGTCCGTACTTCTGGCATTTGAAACATCTTAGTGGATTGGGGATATAAGTATCAACACTGATATTGCAATATCCTGCTCTAATTGATTTTGGAATGGTTGGAGAAGAAAAATGGAAGAGATAAGTATTAGTTGGTTTTGTTTCAGAGTTTATTCGGGTTATAAATCTTTTAACAAAAGTCACTCCTTGCTCTTTCATTTCTGACACCATATCAAGTTCAGTCATATCAGCAAACAATCGATCTCAATCTCTGACAATCCCTTTGCTTGTGTTCAGAGTCCTGTGCGGGGAAACCGAGACCGGAACTCCAACGGGCAACTCAGTAGACATCAGGTTGGTGGATTGTTGTTTTCTGCTACATTCTATAAGTAGAGAACCTGAACGCAATCGTTTGATATTTCTGACCTCACCTGCGATACCATGTATACCTTTTGATACGGCAAAAGGGTTCAATTTAATATGTGATTTGTCAAGAGTCTCAATAACGAGAAATCGTGGCCAATATTCGATTGAGTTGGACGGTCGAGGTTCATCATCAGCACTGTCAGGCTGACGTTTGTTTCTTTTAAGGGGGGTTGTGTAAGCCATAGCTAATGTAGTATAGTTCATCATCTGAGCTCCCCACCTACCACGGAGTATCATGAAGACAATGCTAAAAACAAGGGGGTTTCAGACTTGCAGCACCAAGGATACTCAGATGATATACTCCAGCAGAAGAACTAACAGAATAATTATTCCACTGAATTTGCCCATGAGCCACCGCCTTCTGGGCATACGACTCTAGGCAAAATTAACATTTGTTGAATTTTGAAATCAATAATAAGCTCCGTGAATTAATTTGGCCATTACCAAACACAGGATCATTTAGTGAAATAACATTTGTGCAATATGAGATACAATGCACAGGGCATGGCATGACCAGCCGATTGGTTGAACCGGGCCCATTCAACCACCCGTCCTGGAACCAGTACCCTCAATCACCAGACTCCCGTCCTCCACCGACACAGGGGCGCAACCCACGGCAAACGGGTTGGTGGACCAAATATACCCCCGGGTCCACAACGGGGGGCTGAAGAGCGCTTAGCGTTACCCAGCACCCACCACGACGAGGTGGCTCTTCACGGGTGCCTCAGTGTGATGAAGTTGCCTGTTTGCATGACAGGTACACACTCCCAGAGGCTAGGCGTTACTCTAGACTTTGGCGTTCAATCGAGATGCAAATGCAGATGCACAAGGAAAGGCTACTATTGTTTCTTTGAACATGTTTTCTGTCAGGTAACAGAAAACTCACTTTGAGTTACGCTAAAGGATGTCATTTAAGAAATTTAAGTGTAAATGTTTGCATTGAGAACCACAAAACGACTGGCAGAGTCATGCTGGGACGAGTGAGACTTTAATGCTGCTTTGAAAAGGCACATCAGTCGTCTCACGGCGTCCTAGCTTAAGGATGGAGGGAAGCCCGAAGTAATGCAGGTCCCAGATGTTTCAACCTTGTTGAAACCCACGAGGACGGATATGGTGCAAGCAAGCCTATAAACATGGCCGGGTTTTAAACCCACGGTCACAAATTTCACAGCGAACTCTTGCGCCTTAAACGAGACATGGTGAACTATATCAGGCTTAACTGTTGAAGACAATGACATTTAAAGCATTATATCTGCTATTTGTTACATGTTAATTAGATACAGCAGTTATTATGTCTTCAGATTAATATAAACAGGTAAACATACGGTGATAGGCATATTATGCCATTATGCCATATGACCTTGAGGCTTGGTATGACGTAACAGCATCACTCACCTTTTCCTTCCAGAAACAGATCCAGAAGTTCTGAATACGTCCCGTCAAACCTAACACTCAGTTTCATTCCGTTAAGATGGTTAAAAAGGGATACGCTGACATCTTTTGGATTTCGCATGATGAAGATTGTTTTTATTTTCTTCTCCACCAGCTTTTCCGGCAGATGACGGAAAAATAGATGGGAATTTAGAACTCTCGGGGAAGGGAGTTCATCAGCCCGCTCAGTCTTCGGCATCCCCAACATGGCGATTTCCTTAGCCATCTTGTTGTACTCAGAGTTACCGGCCTTGAGCATGGAGACGATTTCCCACAACCAGTGGGTACCTGGAGGGATCGGAATAGACAGCATGATCTGAATAGGTGAGTTAACTGGGGTTTACGCCTGTTTGAATGGTATTTGTTTTGTTGTTGTTTTTTTGTCAGCATGAATTACACAGTGCGGCGATCACAAATCAGGTAAGATTCGGCACTGTTGCATGTTTTCGTTGCCTGGTGTGTGGTCATGAGTTTCTCGTCTCATGGAACCATCTGCTCCCTTGAGATTTCAAAATCATTTTTACACATAATAGCTTATTCATTTATACAGACTGAGTACATTATTGGGTTCTTACCACATTTAGGATATGCCGCAATGAAGACGTCATCGTCCCTAAGTTCCAGTTTCTGAACTTTTCTGATCATTTCCATGTCATCTTCAGGGGTGGTGTCAATCGGCCGGAGAAGGCCGTCATTTTTATAAAAGGACCATCCATGACCATTCGCATTCCGGTAGTCCAGAATCTCGGGAGTTCTATGAAGAATTACTTGTTTGGTTTGATTTAACGCCGCTTTAAAGGACGGTTTAGAATCACTTGTGTGAGAAAACTGCTTGTTGCTACTTACAAAAGTGACTATGGTGCCTACAAACCGAGGATCAATATTATGTTGAACCTGGCTTTCGACTTGTAGATTCTTGCCGTTGCAAGGGACGTCATTGTGTGCATTTAATTGAGTGATAGACGCATTTAAATAAATGACATCAATACAATAGTGAAAGATAAGCTGCTGTTACAATTTGATGGAATAGACACCTTGCCAGCTCTGTATGCACGCCGAATAACGAGAGGAACAAGTACTTACCGCTGACCTTCCATTTTGATCAGTGCGTGTGATCAACGCTTGTAACTGACTTTCCTCAACACAAAACTGTGTCCCCCTTGCGTGACTCTGCTACTTCCCTTAAGACGGATAGCCCTGACAAATGTACCAGTTCCCTGTTCAGAAGCAACACTGTTCCTGTCGACTGTGTAGGTGTTGGTTCTGGGGCAGGAGAGACGGGGAAGCAGACGCTGAACCTTGAGCCACGGGAGGATGTCTCCCAGCTATAACCCTGACGCGATGTTATCAAGGCTGTTTATACAGGTCATAGATCTGACATAGGGTCTGTTATTGACATAGCAAACAACTGCAGTATATCTGCTATGCAGAGTTGCGTCCCTTGGTTTTGGGAATGCCAGTTCACACTGACTATGTTTCCTGGCTTCTCTACGCCATAGCAGGTGGGTTCGCCGAGTTGTTCATCTCATCACTATTTACGCCAGGAAATTTTAATTGCTGCAAGCAAAGAGTCAGCGACCCGCATTAAAAGTTCCCATACGCGTCTACTAGAAGTGAATATTTCTCTTGATCACACGTGCATTTTCTGTATGTTACTCGTATCAATCTTCGTTTGTATTTGTTCACGTGATCGACAATTCCTGTTACCACCATTTAAATTTTGATAACGGTTGGTTAACACATGCTCATGAAACAGTATAGCAAAACCGATACCTTACTCCGGAGAGATTTCGTATGAACAAGGGTTCGATTCCCCACATGGGTACAATGAGTGAAGCCCATTTCTGGTGTCCCCCTACGTGATATTGCTGGAATATTGCTAAAAGCGGCGTAAAACCATAACTCAGTCAGTCAGTCGTATGAACATTAAAAGGGGAAACTTGCATGTCACTGCTTATGACCTGTTGGAAGTTCTCCTTTTGGGCTTCTTGTTCTGCTTGTGCATGATTTTCAGCAGAATGTCATTTCTTATTGTTGCATTTGATGATGGCGAAGTTAGTTTTCCATTGTTGCTGTTAATAATTAACTTGCCTTTGCATGTGTTTGTGCGACCGACGATACATAGCAAGCTCACGTGTGTGCGAACACCTGATACCGTCACTGTTTTAACGGTGAACTCTTATGACATGCTTATGGAAATGGTTTTGTTTGCTTTTATTCATCATACCAAAGGGAACCTTGCATGCCACTGCTTATCAGGTGTTGGATCCTTGTTCTTTTTGTGTCTGTTTTTCGGCAGAATATAAATTTCTTATTGTTGCTTTTGATGCTTGCAGTCCTAATCTTCCATTGCTGCTGTTGATAATTACCTTGCCGTTGCATGTGTTTGTGCAAACACCTGGTACCGTCACTATTTAAACGGTGAACCCTTGAGACATGCTTATGGAAATAGTTTTGTTTGCTTTCATTCATCATACCAACAGTCCCAACCCTCGTCGCCAAAGGCTTGTTATGACGGTACAATGAATGTCAGCCTACTTGTTTGTGTCCTCACATGTACACATGTACGTCATCGTGGATCCAAAAGTCCAAACCCTCGTCACCAAAGAGTCGTTATGATGGTACAATGAATGTCAACCTATTTGTTTGTGTCCTCATCGTGGATCCGAATGTGCAATAAAAGTTAAATCTCCTGTGTGGCCGAGATGTCATTGTAATGAGTAGCCAAAGTTGTCGTACAGGCGTGCTTAGTCCACAACCACATGCTCACCACATAACCCGTTATTCACACTCGAATACAATGCCCGTTCCTTCAAATCGGCGGTCTATGACGTCATCGATTTTTCGTTCAGGGCAGCTCCTTAAGTTCAGAATTTCCTCACACATAAAGCTGCCACAAAAGCTTCGAAAGCGGCGGAAAAACAAACTCACCCAGAAATAATATTTTAACACATTCATAAATATATGTTTTATTCCTTGTTCACTTGTTATACACAGTAACACATAATACTAGTTTAAAAGCCATAACTTTTGAAAATATATGCTGTATAAAACACAAATACCGCTAAATACATTGTCAGTATACAGTTACTTATATTTCCCTTTGTTGTTTTGACATGTAAAGGGTATATAAGTTGGATACCTGTTCATGACACAACACAAATGCAACTCACTCACTCATCCATCTTGTAACCACATTGATTGATTCTTCCTAAATTTACCTTGATTGTAGTGTCAGCACCATAATTTGGAAGTGTCAGAGGTTAAACTCTGTGGCTTGACATGCACATACAACATAGAAACGAGTATTCATAGATATGTCCTGGATGATATTTGGCATTCAGTGTCAACAACCCCATGATCACCATATAACGGTTATTCATACGTGAACACAATGCCCGTCCCTTCAAATCGGCGCTCAATGAGGCTATCAAATATTTCGTTCTCAGCAACTGTTATCCAGTTCTTCCAATCCCCTACTTCACCTGAAACAGCACATAATATCTTAAGTTCAATGGTAATAAGTAATAAATGTAAGGCTAGTAAGTAACACCTGACTATCTCCTTAAGTACGTCATTCATGAGAAATTCCTGAAGTAAGTAACACAGAAGTAATCTGTAATTTGTGAGTGTCACAAACCTTCCTGCGAACATAGTTTACCCTCAGAGCAAGTTATTTTTATTTTGTGGCAAACAATACTGAAAATCAGTTTGATCTATAATACCTCCATATGTATTCGTGAGTAAGCCCTTCAGTAAGATATGTATCATTGCATCCTTAAATAACTATAGATATGAATAATACTATTCTGACCCACGTGTGACCTCCCAACAAGTTACATCCTAACTGGACATACTCTAAACTATGTATGTCTCACAACAAAAAGCATAATGATTGGGCGTACGCGTCTCTTCACAATAGAAGCTACAAAACCATTTCCAAATTCATAAGAAATCTCTGCTAAAAGCAGCGACGATTGCACAATTGTGACTATATCATGAGTGTTTCAGCAGTATGACAGCTGTATAATGTTGTTTGTAAACAAATTCGAGTCAGGGCCACACAATCAAGTGATTGTCACAATGGGATATGAATGGCAGAGACTGTGTCTATGCATCACTTACATATAGTGATGGTACCAGGTGTTCGCGAAAAGGTATCCTGCCTCACCGGTGGCACCCATCATAAACATATTCTAAGTCTAGTCATTTGTTCACCTGAATTAATTCGGGAACGTATGGTACAAGTCAAAATAGGGAATTGTATCGGTCATATTTTTGTCACTGATGCATCAAATTTTGAAATGTCGTCCACATGTCTACCACAAAACATTTTGAAAGCTTCACTGAGGCCTTGAATGTGGTAACCTTGATCGAACAAATCCTGAGCAAGAGTGGTATGAGTTTGAAATCTTGGTGAAAAGAGCATGCTCAGTTGTATCTCAAATGTTTCTAAATGTAAACACCAAAGGCTGGAGCTGTCGGAATATTGCTCGAAATGAAAGGAAGGTTGAATTGGGAAGTTGAAATCATCCCTTTTGTCATACAGCCTTGAGGTGAGATTTTTGTCACTCTGAAACGGTATTACTACTTGGACCTACTCTATGCCCAGTCCTCATATAATGTATGAATGAAAGGGGGGAAAGAGACAATCAAGGCAAAATTCCAATCTCACCTTTTCTATACATTCCTTGGTGACCCTCCTTCCAGATGTCGGACGGGTTACTAGTGTGTTGCTTGACTTCAGTGTCAGCGGCCCTCAGCTTTTTAAAGCTGCACGCTTCTGCTATTTGCTCACATAGTTCATCGCTGACAGACACGCCAATGAAGTCGGCAACCGTTTTGATGTTTTTAACAGGATCCTAAAATAAAACAAATAAGGGTTGTCACTTCAAACAAATCTTTTAGAGAGAACTTACCCTTGCGCTATATGCAATACCATTGTTGCTGAAGTTCAGAAATAATGGATAGTCGAGTAGAAGTAAACGTATACTTAAAAAAACAACAACACTATAGTAACTTGGGATATATAGTGATATACCTGGGGACTAGTGATATACCTGAGAAACTAGTGATATATACTCCTCACAAAAAGTTAAGCAACACAAATTTGTAGTCTCATTACATTTTCATTTATTGAAATTTCAAATCATGGAATGATGCAATAGAAAGGTTAAATATGTATACACACGATTAACAAAATGAAATGAAATGGTATTGAGCAATAATAGACTTACAAATCATCAAAAGCATGTACTCGTGAAACAGTCGTGCAAAATGTGCTGCATTGATGGAGCAAAATGTTAACATTAAGGTTCAAGTCAGTTTTGGACAGTGAAGCAGTGTTCAGTAACGCGTATGACCACCATGAGCACAAATGCAAGCTTCTACACGTCTTTGCATTGACCAAATGAGCCTTTAAAGTTGCTGTTGTGGAATGTTCTGCCATTCTCTGTAACGCCTGCTCAAGGTCATCCAGAGTCTGGGGGTGCACATGGAGACCGTAAACACGACTTCCAATAATGTCCCAAGCATGTTCAATGGGATTAAGATCAAGTGACCTTGCAGGCCAGTCCATATGTGTGATGTTGTTGATCTAAACAACATCGTTAACAACTCATTCTCGGCCATTATCATCCATGGACGGGCATTATCACCCATTAAAATGAAGTTAGGACCCGCTTGTTGTGCCAGAGGAATGATTACAGGTAGGTTTACAATGATCAGGGTGCATGTGTGAAGAGTGGTGCACATTCATCCCACACATTTTGCATGTTGTTTCTGAGTGTGGTTGTGTTCGGGTTATGTTGTCAATGTTATCAGATAAATTAATTTGACAGTCACTAAAGGTTATGTATTCTTTGAATATTTACCTTTCAGTAACATGTCGGCAAAATTGCTATCGAAATTGATAAAGATATTACACTGAAAATACTTGTTGCTTATTTTTTTGTGAGGAGTATACCTTCAAAATATTATCAGACTGTTAAACGAGAAATGAAAATCACCAAAACGATAGCCCTTTTCCCCAACCCTGTAACAGCACAAATATACCGAAAATATGTACTTGTGTTTCATGGTATTTAGGATGAACAAGAAGTTGATGGTCGATGGGGATGCACTTGATACAGTATTGTGGGCAATATCACATGCACGAGCATCTCAACAGATGACATGCACTTGCCGAATTTCGATTTGTGCGAGTTTGCAAGTTTATTTTGACGTGTTTACAATCACAAACATCTTACATCTTCAAACCGTGTACCCAGCAAACCATTATGACCTTCTTGTCAACATTACGCATCGAGCTCTGATGATAGGTAAAGGAACTACAAACCATTTTCAAGTTTTCATAAAACAATGTCAACATTGGCAAGTCCGGGTTGTCCTGTTTCACTTGCAGCCAATCCTTCACGTAGTCGACATAATCACCACTGCTCACTGAAACATGGAAGGGTTTTTATATGGCATGTATGTATATATACGGATGTGTCTATGAAAAGAATGGGACAGCTGAAGCAACGATATAACAGCGCAACATTTCAAATCTACATTCTGGAGCTTCATGACAGCAACAAGTGAAAGCGTGTTTATACCCGTTCAGACACAGCACCAGATCATGGCAAAGAGCACTTGGGGCATCTAAACCTACATTCACACAACAGCACTTCAGGGCATCTAAACCTACATTCACACAAAGAGCACTTCGGGGCATCTGAACCTACATCCACACAAAGAGCACTTCGGGGCATCTGAACCTACATCCACACAAAGAGCACTTCGGGGCATCTGAACCTACATTCACACAAGAGCACTTGAGGGCATCTGAACCTACATTCACACAAAGAGCACTTCGGGGCATCTGAACCTACATTCACACAAGAGCACTTGAGGGCATCTAAACCTACATTCACACAGTGGCATCTAAACCTGTAGAACATCTGAACCTATATTTACACAGCAGTACTTCAGGGCATCTGAACATATAATCACACAGTAGTACTTAGGGGCATCTGAACCTACATTCACACAGAAGTACTTCAGAGCATCTCTGCCTACATTCACAAAGTAGTACTTCAGGGCATCTCGACCTACATTCACACAGCAGCACTTCAGAGCATCTGAACCCAGATTCATACAGTAACACTTCAGGGCATCTCAACCTACATTCATACAGTAGCACATCAGGGCTTGTCAACCTACATTCACATTGTAGCATTTCAGGGCATCTGAACCTACATTCATACTGCAATTCAGGGCAACTGAACAGCATTTACACAACAGCACTATATTTGGTGAAATTTAGTGAGTAAGTGAGTTTAGTGTTACGCCGTTAGTAATATTCCAGCAATATTACCCGCGGGGGACACGCCTTGTTGACTCCCCACTATGATACTACGTGTCTTTCAATGTCAGTCAAACGGAACTTTCGACTAAGCATGAAATGAAATTGTGTACATTTGCGGTAGATTTGAATACTCCGTTGAAATTGTTCATTTATATATTATGCTTTTGCTTTCTTTTCAAGTTTCGTCAAGCACACTGTATACTTTCTTTTGAGCACTAGTTTATAAATGCTCGTTGATAAGCATTTTATACCACACAGGTCTGTTTTACCATGGGGCTTGGTATGACTTAACAGCATCTAAATATCATTCACCTTTCCCTTCCAGAAATAGTTCCAGATATTCTGAATACGTCCCGTCAAACCTAAAACTCGCTTTCATTCCGTTGACATGGCTATAATAGGATACGCTGACATCTTTGGGATTTCTCATGATGAAGATTGTTTTTATATTCTTCTCCGCCAGCTTCTCCGGCAGATGACGGAAATGTAGATGTGAGTTCAGAACTCTCGGGGAGGGGAGTTCATCAGCCCGCTCATATTTTGGCATCCCCAACATGGCCACCTCCTTGGCCTCCTTCTGGTACTCAGAGTTACCGGCCCTGAGCATGGTGACTATTTCCCACAACCAGTGGGTACCTGTAGGGATCGGAACAGACAGCATCGTGTGAGTTTGTGAGTGAATTACACCTGTTTGAATGGTATTTGTGTTTTGGTCAGCATGATCTGCACAGTGCACAAAGTGTTCTCAAAGCGCTAACAGGGATCATAGACAGTATTAGCTGGATAACCCAAGCTGCCTGTGAGGCGCCAGAAGGTAAAAAGGATATGACATCCCACCGGGTACCCATTTTCTGCTTGTTGAACAGTGGCAATTTTGAACAAACACACTTACCTAAGGTCAGACTACAATGTACGGAATTGCCTCCCTTCGTTCCCATGTAGTCAATATCAAGGTTTGCCACATATAACAAGGGTCATACATGCAGACTGAATGAAATTATACGAATTTATAGAAGTAGTTCCTACCTAATCACAGAGGTAAGCGAACAGAAACATTATACATTATCCCTACTTTTAAAAATGTATTCAAAGACAATATGTATGTTGTTTCTTCACGCGTCACATAAAGCATAAATGGATAATAATATTAATATACGGTAGTTTTCATGCATAAAGACATGTATGCCACATGCAAGAACCATTATGAGTGAGTGAGTATGGTTATAGGCCTTTTAGCAATACTCCAGCAAGATCACGACAGGGGACCCCAGAAATGGCCTTCACACATTGTACCCATGTGGGGAATCGAACCCGGGTCTTCGGCGTGACGAGCCAACGCTTTAACCACTAGGCTACCCCACCGCCCAAGAACCATTATCTATTTCTACAATACATGATGAACTCCCTCAATAGAACAAAAAATGTTTGAAATAGTGAAGTCTATAACACTCCTCCTCACACAGACATCGGAGACATATTATAACAGGGGATCTTTACAAAAGTTGCAAATGTTTGTAAATATGAACTTTACAAATTGATTTTTAAAAATATTTTTTGTAAATCATTTTGTTCTTATGTGCTTATTGCAGAATTCCCCACCACATTTATTCACACAATCTATTGCTGCTTTATACAGAAAATTGTGAAACTTTGGTTCTTACCACATTTGGGATATGCCGCAATCAAGACGTCATCGTCCCTAAGTTCGAGTTTCTGAACTTTTCGGATCATTTCAATGTCATCCTCAGGGGTTGAACCAATTCTCCGGAGGACGCCGTCATTTTTGTAGAAGGACCATCCATTACCATTCTCATTCCGGTAGTCCAGAATCTCAGGAGTTCTGAAAAGAATGAGTGAGTAAGTGACTATGCATTTACGACGCTTTTTTTAGCAATATCCCAGCAATATCACGGCGGGGCACACCAGAAATGGGCTTCGCACATTGTATCCTGTAGAGAATCGAACTCGGGCCTTCGGCGTGACGACCGAACGCTTTAATAACTGGATTACCCACGGCCCCTCTAAGAAGAATGAGTAGGGTTTAACGCCACTTTCAGTTATTTCGTGTGTGAGAAAAGTTAAGTATGCTGTACTTTTACCGACATAATAAAGGTAACGTTGTCTACTTCTTACCCGTGATTTTAATATGTATGTCAAGTATGCAATCGGAAAAGATCGCTACTTTACGATAGCGTGCATGAAGCTCGTGATCTATGCCGAGATAATAAATATCGTTTAAAAAACGAAATTCAATGAAACCTTGACTGTCACTTTTGTATGCGACTGTCATACAATTTATACTAGCTGTAACTGTGCGCTATTTTTAAAACCGTGATTTTACTTCGGGTTACAGAAAACTGACACGCTATCTTTACTATCTCAAGCCTTTCACAGGATATGATTTGCATTTTCAATGGAAATATCTGTCGGACACCGAGACTGGCACGAGTCATATTCTACCGGTCAATATTTGGTTAAATATCCGACTCTATTCGCAAAAACAGAAAGGGGATCGGATGGACAGCCTCGTCCACTTCCAAAGCAAGCAAGGATACGTCCCTCTATCGATCACTGTTACGTGAGAAGTATGGCCAGTTTCGATTGCATCAGTTTCAGAATATTTCGTAGTCCTGTTTATTATATTTCATAACTGATGCGTTACTGTGGTTGTTTTTTGTTGTTTGTTGTTGTTGTTGTTGTTGTTTTTGGGTTTGTTTTTTTTAATATACGCTTATACTAAATGTTAAAAGGTGGGAATTAAGGATGCCATGTTCTTTATTTAGAGGAACTGGACGTTTCGGAGAATATCTTTAGTCCTTCATGAAACGTCGCGTTACTCACAATAAAAAACTTGACATCCTTTTCTCAGCTTTTATGTAAATCATTTCTTAATGCCGTCCAAAGCCTATTATGTACGACTAATCTGCCCAAAGTAAACGCAATAATTACCTCCCTTTGACTAGCTCTACCATATGCTTGTCCGCGAGAAGCCGAGTGCACTTCTATGGGGGCGTACTCCGATAACATCTGCACAACCCAGTTATTGTCGCGAATGGTGTTAGGTGGTTAAAAACAAGGCATTAACTGAAGCTACTGAGGTGTGCATACTCACTGCTGGCCTTCCATGTCAATGGGTACTTGTGATTATCTACGCTTGACACCGACTCTTGTGTTGACACTAGCTTCACACAGCGCGTGACTCCGTTTGATCTAGTCACGTGACTATACATTTGTAGGATTGGATGATTCAGCAAAACGGAGTACTGCCAGTCCTTTGAACGATTGTTGTTTAAACTGGTACAGGTTGACAGTTGCGTAAGACAGTCACCTAGTTTACTGCACACTCGTTGGGAGTCCCTTTGGGCTAAATAGCGATATAAATACGCATGAGTTTGAATCCCAGATTAGCCCCAATAGTGAACCAAGTTTACGAAACACTCGTTACCCCGAGTTTTCCGAATGAATTAAACTGATGCAGTGATTTAACTGAAATATTCACATCGGCGTGAAGCACCTCTCCCACATTGTCAATAAGACGTAGAGGCTCGTTTGTACGTACACCACACGTCTATAAGGGAATCAATACTCCTTACAAACCTCTTCAAAGTGACTTCCGTGTATGTTAACCCTTAATATCCTACAGTGTTGATCATATGTTGATTACCATGAACCATGAACCATGGCAACTATTCAACAATGAAGTCACAGTCCTTGACATGCTTTTTGGGGACAGCCCTGTTTGCTTTGAGGACTGCTTCAGTCTCTGTACACACTCTCTCGGTGTAGACTGGGTAGCTTGGTCAGGAGAACACAACGCAAGGGTGTTTAACCCAGTGCCCGGGAGAATATCGGTCGGCTATTTCTGTCGGCCGGGCATGTTTACACCAAGGCTAAGCTGTTCATGCAGATCCGCAGGTCTGAGGAGAAGGTAGGTTATCGAAATAACAGCCGTGAGCTGTATAACGAAGGTGTCATAAACACAGCGTTGTACTACCTCACTGTACAGCAAGGAAGGTATATTGGTTTTTTAACGTTGTGTTGAAATATCAGAATTTCTTCGGCATATCGGCAAACGCCCATTACCCTGGTTACTATGGACGCTGTGATTGTGTTTGCATGGTTACCTTGTGTGTTTACGGATATTCTCCGCCATCTGAGCGTTAATCTCATGCCGTGATATGCTTTATCAAGCCTATAGCCACAACCTAAACTGTGTAATGTATTTCCTCAACAGTCTGAAGCATTTTGAAGACAATTAGGTCGACATATGTTTTGCGATAATTCTCAGTAGAAAATTTCAGAGATTTCTTCCACAGAGAGATCGTAGCGCTACGACCGTCGTAAGTCCATGTTATAGTATAGGGGTCGCCTTAGAGCAATCATTGCTTTGTGAAATAATGATCTGGACAAGCGTTTTATATTACTAGTTAAGAAAGGTTAATATTTATATTTCTCTTTGTTTCGTGGACAAGTACCATGTCACCATTTTGAATTCTTCAGGAGCCCATCTATGCCCGTCCATGAGTGAGACGTTGCGACCTGGAAATTACCTCCCCTTGTTGGGCTACAATGGGTGTGAGTTTCCGGTATATCCCGCAGACAAGGACCTGCACTCACACATCACACAGATTAGGGATCTAGCAGTGAGGCAGGAGGATGTCTTCATCGTTGGATATCCGTATTCAGGTGAGGGGGAAACAATACCAAACAGTGAGTGAGTGAATGAGTTTAGATTTACGCCGTTTTATAGCAATATTCCAGCAATATCAAGGCCGGGTGACAGAAGAAATGGGCTTCAAACATTGTACCCATGTGGGAATCGAACCTGGATCTTCTGCGTGACGAGCGAACTGTTTAGCCACCAGGCTACCCCGCTGCCCCATAATACCAATACAAAAACGTAAAGCGCTCAAAATGAGCTCATTAATCATTGGCCATTCGTTGACAATGCATCGGATGGTCTGGAACAGAAATGTGTTTTTTTTAGTTCAAACTGTCAATAAGTGGTTTATCTGATCCAGTTTCATTATTTACGGTCCTCCTTCATATAGCGTTGCGTTAACAAATAATCACAAAACAGTATTCGTACGCTCATAAGAAACATGTGACGCATATATGACACAATATTCATTTATAAAACATGTAAGGGACCGTTCATAATTGATGGTTAGAAGGGCTGATGATGATTTTGATGGAGAAGCATGTACATTGTGAATGACCCCCCACCCCTACCTTCCCATAATTTCTAAGCATAATTTTAAACATATTTTATGTACAAAATTGATGACCACCACCATCCCCCATAGTACATGTGTACAAAATTAACCATAAATTACGAACGGTCCCTAAGCGGTTCTGTCCGTCTTGACAGTATGGTTGACAGTCTTGGAGATTGATACGTTAAAGCGGTCGCTGGTCACGCAAATAGGCGGGTTCGATTCCAGTATCGGAAAGTAAACCCCATTACTCGGTCACTCATTGACACCCCATTCAACCAGGGACGATGAGATAGCCCAGTGGGTATAGCACTGGCTCGCCACAAAAAAAAAAAGCCTGGTTCGATTCCGACGTTGCAATTGCCCACGGCCTGTCCGTCTTGGTATAGCAATGTAAACTCACTCACTCACTCGCTGCGGTGGTCGATATAGTCCGTTAAAGATGTCAATACTTGCTGTGTAATGATTGGAACAATTAAGAAACTGGCATAAAAGCAATTCACTCAAAACTCAAACGTTTCTTCCTCAGGATGTCGTTCGCTGTGGAAGATATTGAGCAGGCTCTGGACTCTCAGCACAGACGACCACCATGGCCGGACTGGTCAGTTCCACATGCTGGACTGTACCTCAGCTGACCAGCTGGCGGACCTTCCCAGCCCCCGGGTCCTAAATTCCCACTACCCTCTCCGTTACCTCCCATCACAGATACTCACCCACCAGCCAAAGATTCTCTACCTCCTGCGGAACCCGAAGGATGTTTGTGTGTCCCAACATCTCCACACAGAGAGGAGGAGGGGACGGGGCGACAGGACCTTTCAGGATTTCCTAGATGCATTTCTCAATCATTCCAGTGAGTGTTGGTTTAATAACATAAGTACAAGTAATATATTGCAATTAAATATTTTGCACATTGAAGACATTTTAGATTAGTCATGTCAAGTGAAAAGCTGCAGATTCTTTTCCAGTGTCCTCTGTTCAAAACTGACTTATGCAAAGAGTTACATAATCCAGACTTAATGGTTTGCGACGGTCAACTGTGTGGACAGCAAGCACAAGCCCTGGTGTCATTGCGAGGAGTTTTTTTTTTTTTTAAATATATAAAAATTTGAGATGAGCCCGACTCGAAATGCTTCACAGTACAATACATAATGTCATGATGTATTGTACTATGAAGTATTTTGAATCGGGGGTCATCTCAAAATATTTTTTTCTAAATCTTTAATCCTCGCAAAGACACGAGGGCCTGTGACAGCAAGTGACTAATTATTATATCAGGATATATAGTATGACCAGAAATTATTAAGAATTTTAGGAATATGTTTAATTGGATTTCTAGTATAAACAACCTTGACCAGCTATCAAGTACTTGGTTCATTCAAGACAGACAACTCCCTTAATCCTTTTTCATTAGTTTGTGAAGAGTTATCCCCCTTTGTTTACTTGCTAGCAGACGACATTTTCAATGATCCTCAGTAAGGATGATTTAGAGAAGAGGTAGTTGATTTTAGAGTATTATAACAAGGACATCAGATCAACTAAAATGATTTCAAGTAGAACAGGCAACCCTTTGTCCTCTGTTTATCGTGTTTTGAAAAATATTGCAAATGGGTATGGCACTGAGCACCAGGGAGGCGCAGGTAGGCCCAGAAAATTGACTGTCGGTGACAGGAGGCGGCTTGGTATTCTTGTTTCTAAAACCAAACGAAGGAGTTTAGAAAACTTAAGGCTGGATATGATTGATAGAGGAACTGTGGATGTCTGTAAGGAGACAATTAGAACTGAGCTCCAGCAATGGGTTGGCAGAAAAGTCGAGGAATTCCATCAACGATCATGAAACCTGAACAAAAGGAGCGAAGGTTGAACTGGTGCTTACAGCATAGAAATTGTAACTGGGACAATGTGATTTTCTCAGATAAAGGTTCTGTGTGGCTGTTTCCTAATACACTGAAATTCTGGACGAAACAAACTGAAAAACCTTTGTATCAGCGCCCAAAGTAAAGTCCGAAATTTAACGTGTGGGGTGGCATATCTGTGTATTTCAAGGGAATATGAACAGTGAGCGGTACACAGATATTCTCGAGGGACATTTACTTCCATCTGCTCACGTGTTCTATGGAAAGTCTGTCCTTATCTAAATCTCAAACTTCTAAAAATGCCACTCAAAGAAGCTCTTAAGGTCATGAATAGATATTTGAATCTGTAATGATATTCCCCTCTCAAACTGTTTCGTCCTGTACAGATATGAGATTGTGCTTGAATCATGAGGATTGTATTGTATTGATCTTGGAATAATTTGAAACAATACAATATATATGAGGTTCTCCTTTGACTTACGGCTTTGTGTAAATTTAGTTTTGGAATGTTTCACCAATGTTGTACAATAGGACATTAATTCTTACTGACAGCGAAACGTTGAAAATTTACTTGCTTTATTCGTTAATAGTTTTGTCATCAGAACAAATCTGAATACGAATGATGGCATCAACACTTTCTAAGATGCTGATATTTTTAATTGTGAACTAAATATACAGGTTAGCTCGGATGACGCGATATGTTTTTATTCTCGGAACTTTCAGTGTACAGGTAAAAATGGAATAGACGAATTGTTTCCAATGGCAGATTTATGTGTCATTCGAAGGATATCCTGTGAGAACAAGAGTCTTGTGTAATACCCCAAGTCAGTGCAGCTGGTTGTGACGGATGGTGTAACCGTGACGTTCATGAACTTAGTTGTTTCTTGCTTTGGTTGTGACGGGTGGTTTCACCGTGACGTTCATAAGATTTGTTATTTGGTTGCTATTGGCAGGTGGCTATAAAGTTCATGAAATGCGTTTTTCTTGCTGTTGCAGCAGGTTATGGTGGGTGGTTCAACTATGTGAGGCAATATCAACAGGCGTTTACAGAGAATCGAGATTTACTGGTACACACTCTCCGTTTTGAAGACACCCAGGCGGTAAGCTCCAATGTGCATTAATGTAAACTGATGGGCAATTAAAACTGAGTCGATAGTTCAATTCTAACAATTCATGAACATAAATCAAAACTTTTGATTAGAAAGACTGTTCATTTTCTCTTTTGATGCTGTGGCAAATTAAACCCCATTCTCTGACACCTTCACACAACTAATGGGAGCAGGCCTCGCCAGGCGAGACGAAACAGTCCCCTTGATGTAGGCGAGCCTGTTGTATTGCGTCGAAGACACCAGATGATGGAAACAGTCGAAAGGATGTTGTTGATAATGTCAAATAAAGATTGGCCGCTTGCCTTAGTCGACTAGTTCTGATCCTGTCGTTGGGGTCTATTCATCTCATCCCGGAAATGTTCTATAGAAGGTTGCTCCGGAGCACATGACAGCACAACAATGTTATAGTGCGTCACAAAGCCTATTGCAACACAATAATATACTGTTCGAGGCGCGCCTGGCGGTGACGTGAAGCAAGGTCACTGGATGTCGTGGTAACCTACAGTGCTCCTCAAACCGTCGCGAACAGTTTTGCCTCAGGAATTGTCCAATCTGTAACTGTACCAGTTTGATATCAGTTTTCATATTCAAGAGATAATGCAATAATGTATTCTCGGTCGTATAAACGCGCAAATGTAAGAGATGAGTGTGTAACGTGACCGAGATGTCCGTGTGTCGCTGTATATACAAGCACGGACGAATGTTTTATGGCGCCAGCCTATTGAGGTACCTGACCTCGTTTGGCTTGTATAACTCATCCAGGCACAGTCTCATGACACCGCGCCGACCAGCTCTCTAACACCTGAACGTTGAACGTTTTCGTCGGTACCCGGAAGTGCCATTTTTTCACGTCTTTTTGTATGGCTGAAACCAACAACGCCCCCTCTCCCGACAGACGCTCCATCCACTTGACCACGGAGGCGATCCATGAGTCCGAACAGGGCAAGGACAGCACCAGGTCACCAGGTAAGTGGCACCTTGATCTTGATGCGACCTCTCGTTTTTTTGGTCATTCTTGGGCTGTGGGGTAACCTAGTGGTTAAAGTGTTCGCTCGTCACGACGAAGACCCGGGTTCGATTCCCCACATGGGCAAAATGTGTGAAGCTATTTCCGGTGTCCCCCGCCGTGATATTGCTGGAATATTGCTAAAAGCGGCGTAAAACCATACTCACTCACTCATTTGGTCATTCTAAAAGTGTGAAAGTGTGTTGGTCTTGAGTGTTGTGAAATAGTAGATTAGTTTACAAGTTAGTGGTTACCTTTCCAGTATACCCTTCCACGGTGCATCCAATTACGTACACAGGAATAGTCTTGTCTGACGGAAAGGGCGTTGAGTGAGTATGTGAGTGAGTTTAGTTTTACGTCGCTTTTAGCAATATTCCAGCAATATCACAGTGGGGGACACCAGAAATGTACCCATATGGGAATCGAACCCGGGTCTACTGCGTGACGAGCGAACGCTTTAACCACTAGGCTACCCACCGCCCCGAAAGGGCGTTGATGAATGTGCTTCACAAATATCTTCACTATGACCTTGACCTCACATGTTGGTCACTGAATGAGTTGTCTTGACACTGGCGCTTGAAAGTAAAACTTGACGTTGTGGGCCTTTACGTAAGTCCATGTTAGTAAAAGGGTACAGATACCTGGTGGCTTCAATACTGATTAAAGGGGCGGTGGAGTAAGTCCAGTGGTGGACGCGTTGCTCGTCACACCGAAGCAGGGATCGGTTCAATCTGTGAAGCCCATTGCTGGTGATTTAGCTGTGATAATCCAAAAAGCGGCATAAAACCGAACTCACTCAATACTGATAGAAAAAATAGAAAACAAAACAAACACTCCTTGTAATGTCCCCACGAAGTCATGTATCAGCTTCCCTTATTTGTTACCATTTTTGTACCACGTCTCATGATAAATTCCGTTAGGGAATCAAGGAATCGAGTTACAATGGTATCATATAATTCATGTATCACGCATCCAACTACCAGTATGTTGGGGTTCCGTACGTGTCCGCAATGATTTTTAAATACCAAAATAAATGTCTACCTTTTATTGAATTAGTTGTACATTCAGGTATACTGTGGGGTGGGGTATTCAGTTTCAAATCAATTTGATGTGACCGTAATCTCAATTAAGTTTTGCCCAGTTTACGCTATATCAGTCACATACTTTCTATTACTCACGACGTTTCTATTGACCCCACTTGACGAACGTGAACTAAACTGTGCTTCAAGAGCTTTGGCGACACAGTGTTATGTCAAATGCATGTCAAGAGGAAGTACATACGAGATTTAAGCGTCTTTGTGAAATTATTTTAATGTACTTAGTCACGGATTAAACCAAAGTACTTAATCACTGGCATTTACTGATAGTCCTTCATCCAATATTTGATATAGGTCACTGATATATCTCAATAAAGTCATAGCCTACATGAACATGCTGTTTCTTTGTGGGATTCGAACTGTCTCAAGTATGCCTTATCCAAAAGCAATTGAGACGATGCCATATTTAGAGTTACTTCCCTTCGGACATAGCTCTACGACAGCGCAAGACATTTCCATTGGGCTGTCGCTGTAAGGAGTTTTAAGAAAAACAAAGCACGTCGCTTCAGTCTTCCCAGTCATGTGTGCAGGCGTGATCCATCGTCTGACGTAGAACCGTGGTACGTATCACTATGTTCTAAGAATGAAACCGCTTCAAAAATAACATTGGCGTGACCCTAAAGATTATCTGGTTAAAATCAGTGCTTAAATGCAATAGGTTGTCTTTTGAACCCTGTCTGCAACTACACTTTTGCAGAGGTGCATCACAAGTCTACCCTTGGGAAATGTCTGTGGCCAGTGAGGGTGTAACGTGTTACGTGCTTCTCAAGGTCTCGTGTAATATTTTCATTTCATTTCAATGATCCATTATGCACAGGTATATGTTTATGTTGTTTTCATATAATAAACTTTTCTGTCAGTTCAAGTCAAGTGCATAAATGTAGTAATTTCCATTACAGAACGAGGGATGCCAGGGGCGAACAATTATTAATTTACAGAGTTGTTACAATATACGAGGGTCCTGTAAATTTATGAAATAGTGAGTGTTCCATAGTGTACGATGTAAAAAAATGTGTTGATAACTGGGGCTGATACAGTTTTTGAGGGGTGGGGTGGGGTGGGGGAGGGTGTGTGTGTGTGCATAATCATAATTAATCTTTCCATCAACAATATTTGGGATATTTCGGATTATCAATCATTTTAGCCAGTCCCAGCTTAAGTCTTGCTAATGTCAATATTTATTGTTAATAAAGAATACTGACCATCATAAGAGAAGTGTGATAACGTCTTTATTATGTATTGGCATTCTTAGTTTTGTCATCGTTTCTTCAACAGTTGGGTAGGCAAAATAACTATTACTAGAATCTGTACTTCACTGAGGAAGTGAGAATCCCCTACTATGACATGTAACATTTGGCCACATTCTGCAAGGAATTGTGTCTTGAGAGATTGGCTTGTGAGCTGATGTACACTTACAGGTCACATGGATACACAAAAGTATGTGTTCTAGACTACCAGTTGTCAGACGTCCGTTTTGTGGAAGCCTCATTGAGCGAGTGGATGAGTGGGTTACATGGCTAAAGGTTCTCACTCTGAGACCGTGGGTTAAACTTCTGGATGGAACTCAACCCAAACAAGTACTAGAATCTGTACTTCACAGAAAAAGTGTAATCCCAAATATGCCATGTTACATTTGACCATTTCTAGAGTACATTGTGTATCCACAGAACAGCAGGGAGGGGTAGTTCATTCCAACCTAGCAGGGAGGGGTTGTTCATTCAACCTAGCAGGGAGGGGTTGTTCATTCCACCCAGCAGGGAGGGGTAGTTCATTCCACCTATCAGGGAGGGGTTGTTCATTCCACCTAGCAGGGAGGGGTTGTTCATTACACCTATCAGGGGGGGGTTGTTCATTCAACCTAGCAGGAGGGTTGTTCGCTCCACCCAGCAGGGAGGGGTTGTTCATTCCACCCAGCAGGAGGGGTTGTTCGTTCCACCTAGCAGGAGGGGTTGTTCGCTCCACCCAGCAGGGAGGGGTTGTTCGTTCCACCTATCAGGGAGGGGTTGTTCGTTCCACCTATCAGGGAGGGGTTGTTCGTTCCACCTAGCAGGGAGGGGTTGTTCGTTCCACCTAGCAGAGAGGGGTTGTTCGTTCCACCTAGCAGGGAGGGGTTGTTCGCTCCACCTAGCAGGAGGGGTTGTTCGTTCCACCTATCAGGGGAGGGGTTGTTCGTTCCACCTAGCAGGAAGGGGTTGTTCATTCCACCTAACAGGGAGGGGTTGTTCATTCCACCTAGCAGGGAGGGGTTGTTCATTCCACCTAGCAGGGAGGGGTTGTTCATTCCACCTAGCAGGGAGGGGTTGTTCGTTCCACCTAGCAGGGAGGGGTTGTTCATTCCACCTAGCAGGGAGGGGTTGTTCGTTCCACCTAGCAGAGAGGGGTTGTTCGTTCCACCTGTCATGGATGACACTTACAACAGTGCCAACCTTATTGAGATTCCCATCCTGGGATTTACCAGGGTCTTTCAGTGTTTTAATCCAAGTCAGTGAGTCAGTCAACAGCATGACTGACTGACTGAGTTTGGTTTTACGCCTCTTTTAGCAGTATTCCAGCAACATCACGGTGGAGAACACCAGAAATGGGCTTCACACATTGTACCCATGTGGGGATTCGAACCAGGGTCTTCGGCATGATGAGCCAACGCTTTAACCACTAGGCTACCCCACCGCCCCTCAACAGCATGAGCAACAGGAAGTAGGATCAGTTCAGTTACTCCTGGTGATGTATTTTATGCTATATTCAGCAATATTACTTTAACATCACTGTGGCCTTTAAATGAGGATGCTAACTCTTGCTTCCCTGATTTTTTACTTTGAGTCTTATTTCGTTACCCCTACATCATGAAAACTATTTAACAAAACTCTCAAAACCAGAATATTGAAAGTGGTTAGGCTCTCTGACTTGGTTGACACATGTCATCGTATCCCAATCGTGTAGATCGATGCTCATGCTGTTGATCACTGGATTGTCTGGTCCAGACTGGATTATTTACAGACAGACACCATATAGTTGCAATATTGCTGAGTGCGGCGTAAAACTAAACTCACTCGCTGTTGCTCATGTTGTCAATCACTAGGTATGCTAGAATCAGTTTGCTTAACTCTATAGCTGGAGTATTGCTGCACTGAAAACAGATTATCATATCATAATCATATTTGTGTTTCCTTTCCAGTTGTAATCTTGTTTCACATGTGGTGTTCACCAACTGAAGAAGATGTGTGGAGGAAAACATGCTCAAGGCAATAATATCCAAGCATGGCAAAACGAAACCAAGAACAGATAAGTAACGCTAACAGAGACCAGAACACAAGGCAAGCTGAATGTGTGGAAGGACAAGAAACAAGCCTAGAACAGATAAATAACGCTATCACCAAATGTGAGAGAGAACCTCAGGGAACAAACTTTCCCAGTGTAATTGAAGTCCGACGTCATGAGTGCAGTGAGTGTGGGAAAAGATTTAAAAGACTGGGACACCTAAAGACACACATGTTGTGTCACAGTGGAATCAAGCCCCATGAATGTGTTGAATGTGGCAGAACATTTTCACAAACCGGTAACCTGCAGATCCACATGCTGAATCACAGCGGGCTCAAACCTTACGAGTGTACAGTTTGTGGGAAGACGTTCAAGCAGACAAGTAACTTACAGAATCACATGCTGTATCACAGTGGAGTCAAGCCATATGAGTGTACAATCTGTGGGAAGAAATATACTCAGTCCAGTAACTTGAACACTCATATGATCAGTCATGGTGGAGTGAAGCCTTTTGAGTGTACGGAGTGTGGGAAAGCGTTCATTCAGTCAGCTCATCTACTCCGACACATGATTGTCCACAGTGCGGTCAAGTCTAACTATGTCTGTATGGAATGTGGGAAGACATTTGGACTCTGGCATAATCTGAAGAAACACATGAGAAGTCACAGTACGATAAGACCTTTTGAGTGCAATGAGTGTGAAAAGACATTTACAGAATCCAGTGACCTTCAGAGACATATGCTATGTCACAGGACAGATGAGCCATTTGAGTGTAAAGAGTGTGGGAAAACATTCAGACAACGGGGTAACTTACAGAAACATTCAAAGTGTCATAGTGGGGTCAAGCCTTTTGTGTGTGGGGAGTGTGGTTGGGCGTTTTCACGATCAGGTAACCTTCAGGAACATATGAAGAGTCACAGCGGAGTCAGGCCGTTTGAGTGTGGGGTTTGTGGGAAAGCTTTTGCCCGGTCAGTGAAGCTGCACATACACATGAGGAGCCACACTGGTGAGAAACCTTGTAAGTGCAGTGTTTGTGGGAAAGGATTTAGTGAAAAAAGTAGTCTGAATGTACACATGAAGCGCCACGGTGGTGTGAAACCTTTTCAGTGTAGTGAGTGTGGGAAAGCGTTCACAACATCCGGGCAGCTTCAGATGCATTCACGGAGCCACAGCGGAGTCAAACCTTACAAGTGTGATGAGTGTGAGAAGACGTTCACAGGGTCAAGCAACCTTCAGACACACAAGAGGCGACATCACAGCGGAGTCCAGTCTTACGAGTGTGATGTCTGCCGGAAAGTATTTAAGAAATCTGGGTTTCTGGAGAGACACAGAAACCACAAACACAGTGAACACAATGAACACGGTGAAGCAGATCCAGTGAATAATTAAATGAGGTGTAGTTTGGATGGTCAACCTGCATACAATTTTCAGCATCTTGTTTAGTGGAGAAGCAACACGCATGATAAGGTAATACTGTGTTGTACCATGGTACGAGGCTCATGATCATAATGATGCACTGATTTACAACTCCTGTGTCAGATTCATTACAACTTATGTTGAATAACTTTTCAAGAACCAGTTTATACAGATTCTCCAGTATTTCCTGGTAGGCTATAAATAACAGAATCTTCACAGTGCTCTCAAGCTCACATGATTCTTCCCAGAAATATCCCATCTTTGGTATCTGAAATTTGAAACCAAATGATTCAGGATTGTGCTTCACCTGTTAAAAGAGAGAGAATATGAATTAAAAGAACTCTATCGAACATGTATAATATTGCACCCTAACTTAATCTTGTTACTGAGGGACTGGCCATTCATCATGTTCAATATCTGGATTCTGATCCAGATTTTATATATGAGATCAAATGTTTAACTTATTCACTTAACCCACTGATAATTTTGTGCTCAGGAAGGAGGAGCCAAACAATTAAGAAATTTATTTCCCTCATCCAGCGTCCTGCGAAACATTTTTTTTTTCAAACTCAGGCAAAAAGCACCAAATCAACTGAAGTCAATTAAAATTTTCATTTGAAAAGTATTATAATATTACAGGTACATAAAATCTTGCAGCCAGTCTCATCCTCACTAGCCAGGGAAGTCAGCATTCTCCTGGTTGTGTGGTTGCCAAAGTGGAATAAATTGTAGGGAATGTTTTCAGTTAGTTTGTTGAAACAGATCAGTTGGTAACTTACACTATGACATTAAGGTTTATGAATATGCCTAAAAACACTTATACCCAATCAGAGTCTGGTACTCTGATCGCATTATACACAAGTTAAACCGAGGCCAGACTGAACCACCTCATTTCCTCAGATATGACAATATTCCATAAAGGGACATAATTGAGATGCACCTAGACCATGTAAAATTTCACCATCAAACCCTCCACAAAACCTTTTTATGAGCTTAGTAAATCTAAATGCAGATAATCACTGTGTTTATTGAATAACCCTTGACCAATAAAAGCTTTAAACATATTTTTGTTTAGCCATTAATCATGTTTATACTATTTATTTGCATAATCATATTATAAATACATAAAACACCATCACCGGATAACAATAAAATCTGATATGTCTCCCAAATGACATTACATCCTGGTACAATAGTGTTTATTGAAATAAGTATGCGTCACCTCAGCCAAGGCACCACTTTATTACATTCTATCATGAATTGGAAAATATATATCTGTTCCCGGTATAGAATTGTTACAGACCTCTGCTAAAGACTTGGCGCCGAGTATCATCTGAGCACTGTGCAATTCCAGATACATCACTGATGTGTTTCGCTGAAGGGAGGTGTGGCACTGACATGGAATAACTGAATATTTGTCCATTTTGTTAATGATTTTTTATAGTACATATTGGGTAGATAAGGACATATTTTATGGATTAACAACGTCTTTATTCGGTGATGCATCACCTGAATAAAGAAGTTGTTCATCCATAAAGTTTGTCCTCATCTGACTTTCCAAATTTCTAGATATGCCACTCAAAGAAGTTACATATTGGGTAATTCGGATTGTGGTATATGACACACAACATTCTTTATTGACATTTTGAGGCAATTGTCTTCTAAAGTATAACTGATATGCATTTGTCAGTCGTGGAATCATTTCTTGTTAACCCGTGTCCTTCAGCTAATTGTTTGTTTAATTAGTTATGATGGCACTGTCAGATTGTCAATTTGAATACACTTGTTCAGGCATACAACATGTGTCATATTTTGCTTTTCATTTATTCAGCTGTTTAGTAATAACACGTTATCTTTAGATTCTATCTGCAAGTCACATTTAACACCTGACACACTGAGCTGTCAATACATGTACATCAAGATCAGAAAGCTCATGTCATGGCTTGTCCAATGAAACTGAAGCTTCACATATTTCTACAATAACCTAACTTAAATTTACATTATGGCCATGATGAAAAAGCTTTATGTGTCTATTACTGACTCAGTATTGGCCAAATTGTACAGAAAATGTGGTAGAAGTACACTCAGTAGTGGGGAGTAACATAGATGTTCCGTTTTTTATGATAAATTATTTATTTATCCAACTCGGACCTTTGCACTTGGACCTTGTATGGTCGCTGTTAGATAAATTATTCACTTCCGTACTGTGTTTACATGACACCACTGTCCTTCTCATTTGTCCACAGTATGAAGACTTAAGAAAGTATTATATACCATCTAAGTACAGGTCCTGTCCCACATTTTACAAATTCCCTTTACAAACTAATGTCAACAGAAAATGTACAGCTACTTCAGAATATTGCTACGTTTATACACCATGCACTGTTAAATCGCAAACGCGCTTGTACCACACATCCATTGTAACTGTTTTTTACTTGTACTACGGGCCTCTGGGCTACAGTTCAAATAAAGAACTCTCACCTCACATGACACCACTGTGTGTATTTGGGGCAACTGTGAATGGATGTTGGGATTTGGGTATATATGTTGATAACACGTACACTTACCAATAGAGTATTGATTAATTGACATATTTTTGTGGGTTTGCGAAGCGGTATTTACGACCAGGATCTCCTAGTTGGTAGAAGAACGGAAAAAACATGTTTCTGGGCACTTTTTTACCTCGACATTGCCGTTTGAGGCACAGACACGCAAAATGTGATGACAATGTACCACACAGCCCCTTCTGCCCCTTATATGTCATGATGAAAGTTATTAGGCGTGTCGACGTGAGTTTGGTCATTATATTTTATTCATTGCATGTTTGGTACTTAAAACAAGAACAACATCACAACTGCGACTAAACTGTGTCAAACTCATTTAAGCAGTAGTAGTTAGTTAGTTATTCATGTCAGAAGTCAGAAACTTTCCATTTGAACATATCTTGAACATTGTACAAATATTTCATTTTCCGCGACTATAAAAATTGTCAGTTGGATAAACTTCGCGATTATCCTTTCTGTTCCATTATTTCAGGATATGAACTTTTAAGTCACTTTGACATGTTAAAAAAGTAAAGAAAACATCTTCAAAATTCCGCCATCTCTACATTTAATTTTTCAGACTTTAAATGCAACCGTCCTTGACCCTCGCCGTCTGACTACTACAATGTATTTGTTATAATTATTTGCACGACCAAGAGACGCAACACCAAACGGCGAAAAGCAGCACACAAGACGTTTGGCCACCAGTGCTACCAAAATAATGTTGAACTTGTGTCTTCAGATGATACAGAAGGCGCTGATGGTGAAGGTATCTTGGGTACAGCCATTCACTGTATAGCGTTGTCTCCCTTAGACAGAAACCTCTTTCTTGTGTTTCCAGGTTTGTTTCCCGTGTTCATAAGATTTCACAAGAGAGACAGCCGTCTGAGATAGTGAGAAAACCAAACTTCTAAATGTTCTGTTAAACCTCGGTATTTCCACAGAACCCCTACAAACAAACGCGTGGTCTGTGCAAGTTCCTGGATCTTGATATGGATGAAGAAGCTATATCAGACCTGGTAGAAGCGTGTTGTGACGCCAGCCACATACAGCCAGCTAAACGGGTGAAGAAGGAGGCCAACAGTGACAACATGGCAACCACGCCAGATATGTACTACACCGAGGGTGAGTTAGTGACGGAATAATGGCATACGCTGCACCAGTAAGTCTCAGCGTATCCGGGTATTCGCGCTGTGTTTGCCATGGCTGATTGTGTGTCATTTATGCTGTGTCTAGACAGTTGCCATGGCTGATTGTCATTAACCCTGTGTCTTGACCGTTGCCATGACCGTTGCCATGGCTGATTGTGTGTCTATTACCCTGTGTCTTGACCGTTGGCGTGGCTGATTGTGTGTCAATTACCCTGTCTTGACCGTTGCCATGGCTGATTGTGTCATTAACCCTGTGTCTTGACCGTTGCCATGGCTGATTGTTTGTCATTTACCCTGTGTCTTGACCGTTGCCATGGCTGATTGTGTGTCATTTACCCTGTCTTGACCGTTGCCATGGCTGATTGTGTGTCATTTACCCTGTCTTGACCGTTGCCATGGCTGATTGTGTGTCGTTAACCCTGTGTCTCGACATCTACCACGGCCAGACGGGATATTTTCAGGCAGTTCTTATAGTGTTGCCGACACTGGCGAAAAATATGAAACCAACTCCAACATCGTGCCAGTAATATGTGTAGCCGAAAGGTCGTGCCTGATGCCAGTGCTCTTGTCTTGCAGGTCAGGTAGGCGAGTGGAAGAACTGGCTTACAGTGACACAAGACGAAGAATTTGACGAAGCAATACGAGAGCATTTGGATGGTACCGAGCTTGACATTAGGTATTCTCTGTGATTGTATCATGTAATACCGGGTACCTGTAGGTCCCCAGTAACCAGTGCTTGTCACAAATGGGGAACAGGTGGTGCCCGGACTTTGAAAGTTTAATGTCACGGGCAAACAATGTGGGGGCGTGCCCTTGATTATCAATTACATTTTTATCTTTTACTGGAAAGTGTGTTCAACTAAAATCACAATGAAACTGTGTTTGTTTGACTGTGTAACGCACCTGTCCAGCTCTTATCTTTATATGGTGTTTATCAGCACCTGTATGGAAGTTATTTTGTATGCTTTATATTTTTTATTTTATTTTTTATTTCTATGGAGAATAGATCTGACACCTGTGCATGTGTTAATGACATACACACCTTAATGTGCATTTCTGTCAGCTGTGTTGCCATAGTAACAATTCATTTGATATTAACACTTTTGTGTAGTTAACAACATATTTCACGACTATTTCACCCAGCAACCGGTCTTTTCTTATGTATCATTACATATTTACAATATCATCTTGTATTTTAAACATTGACAACACGTTGCACCAGGAATCGAATGGAAACCTTTTCGGCAAGAAACTGAATGCTGATCAGGTACAGGTATCGGTTTAACGTAATATTGGCCGAAATCGTTGGCAAAAATAAGGGGATTTTAGCCACCCGTGAAGATCCGGGTTAGAATGGATCTTCACTAACCCATGTAAGAGGCGACTAACGGGATAGGTTGGTCAGGGTCGCTGACTTGGTTGACACATGTCATCAGCTCACAAATTCGCAGATCGATGCTCATGCTGTTGATCAGTGGATTGTCTGGTCCTGACTCGATTATTTACAGACAGCCACCATATAGCTGGAATATTGCGGCGTAAAATAAACTCACTCAATCCTATTTTAGCACTGTGGTGCAAACATTTGTCAACACAATACTCATACTGCTTGGGTGATGTAGTCGTGCATCACAATATACTGTTTTCTTTTATACACCAGGTACAATGAGTGAAGCCCATTTCTGGTGTCCCCCGCCGTGATATTGCTGGAATATTGCTAAAAGCGGCGTAAAACCAAACTCAGTCAGTCAGTTTATACACCAATATCGATTAGACTGTTGTTTATATGAAATGATCTCCATATATTGTGCTTGTTGTAACATTACAGTCGTGTTCGAATAAATATAATATCACCGAACTAATAATCACGTCTTTCCTAAACGTTTATCAGTCTCTGTAAGTATATGTAACCTGAATGAGTGAGAGTGAACCGACCCGTGAAAATCCGGGATGGAATTTGTCTTCAGCAACCCATGCTTGTCTTTATATGCGACACACGGAATGGACATGCTCGCAGACTTGGTTGATGCATGTCATCGTGTCCTTATTCAGTAGATCGATGCTTAATGTAAATCACAGGATTGTCTGGTCCAGACTTGATTATTTAGGGACCGCCCTCAGGTACCAGGAAAATCGCTGAGGCGTTAAACATCAAACAAATTAACATGACTGCTCGTAAGTGACCATTGCATGGCGTGTCCTAGGTGTTTTCCAATCGTCGAGGACGGATGTGGGTCCGACAAACCAAATTGCAACTAGTGGATCAGGTTACTGAGGCCCTTGGACCAAACGAAGGTTGCCCAACCTTGGTTCCTCGGTTTCTGGTTCCTCCAAGACAGGTAGGCATGGTGATCGTCACAGATGGTTAAGGAATCGGGTAGCCAAGCGAGGTTTATGGTACGTCACCACACGCCGACGCCGATCGTTGCTCAGACTATCAATCACTAGATTGTCTGGTCCTGACTCGATTATTCATAGGCCACCGTCACAGAGGTGCATTATTAGTTAGTGCGGTGTTGAACAACAAACAAAAGACAAATAATGTAAATTTGTTGTTTGATAGAAATGACTGAGCGGACGTTCAGGCATGGACGGCAGAATTTGACCGATTCTCCCGTGAACCGACTGACCACACCCCCAGCCGTAACATCTTGGGTGTCTGCTTTACAAATACATGCATATGGTTTTATACAGTGGTTTTCAGTGATTAGAACAACACACAATAACTTTGGAGTTACCGTTTTATGAATAACCGCAACCTATTTGGACGAAGCTGTAACCCTAAACAGTCGTGCATTTGACAGTGTACTCTACCATTTGCTTAAAATAAAATCAGTCGCTTGACATATCTATGTTGGATAGTGATTATTAATCGCCCGTGGAAGATACTGAAGTGTAATATTTTTACGGCAATATTACACAAGTGTAATACCGCTAGACGTATGACGTCACAATGGTTTACAGTTATGACGTCACAATGCTAATACCCTGTCACAATGGTATTAGACCTTGCTCGACAAGAGGAGAGCTGAGAGTCATCACACTGTAGGCAGGTTCTATCAATTTATGTTGGAGAGTAATAAACAGAATATTAAACTCGATTCCGTGAAAAACGAGCGAAAGCGTGTGTTATTACACGGAAGTTCGTGTAGTATCCTCTATTTATTACTCGCCCGTGGAAGATACTGCAGTGTAATGTTTATACAGTAATATTAAACTAGTATAATATCGCCACACGTGAACCAGTTCTGCTGGAACTACTTTCAATCACGTGATATATCAAATCAAAATGGCTACTGTCAACGTTTATAGTCCCTTCTGTTCAAGATCATAAGTAACACATTTTAAAATATTTTTAGGATTATATATTTTATAAACAATTAAGAAATGATTTGATAGCTATATATTTTATTAACACTATTGATAACTACGATCCTAAACAAAATACAATTGCAGACGATGTATTCACGAAATAATCAAAATGGATGTAATTAAAGTTAATGACTGTGGTGAGAATTGACGGTTCTATACGAGGAAGTGTAATGCACTTTACAACCTGTGGGAACTTTCCACGTGTACGATGTGAAGCTGGAAGCTGGATCCAGTAAACAGGTGGCACGTTACAAATTACGAAAACTTTCTGAAACTGTAAGCGCTGGACTTGGCCAACATATTTTTGATGATGATCTGACAAGATGGACCTTTAACGATGATCTCTTTTGTGAAGTAGTTCAATACTGTAATCAGTCGGAAATTGAGGATTTCATTGAGGGAAATATGAATTTAAACACAGAAAGGAAAACTTCCTATTACTTCAAGATACTTGATCGATTTATGCATGAGCAAGGTGATTACAAAAGGTTTGAGGGATATCTGAAGATGATCTATGTAAATTGCTGTGCAAATTTGTGATGTGGTCTAACCACGAACCGAACAGTCTGAGGAGCATATTATCGAGTATCGATCGACATCTTCATTACAAATCGTACGGAAAATCGATCTGTTTGATTTTGATTTCAATAATCTTAAAATGTTCGAAAAGCTAAAACTCCTGAAACATGATGGATTAGGGAACTTACCCAAGCAGGCTCAATCTCTCAGTGATGTCGACATCGAGACACTATGGACAGACAGACAGACAGATGGTTTATTATCGTCTCACCTCAAATATTACATAAAATACATTTTAAATTAAAATGAGCGACTCCGCATAGAGTTATGAGAGACTAAACATTAAAAATGTACAGTCAAATTTACTATACAAAAAAAAACCCAACTGAAATGAATTATATACACAAATAAATATAAAGTTTATATCATATCCTTACGTAAATTTTAAGTAGCCTTTCAGGTTTTCGTACTTACATGTACAACATTTGGGCAGGCCAAGATAAAACATCATCATTTTGTAGATTGACATCAGGCCACACAGCATTACATTTAGTTAAAAGATCTTTACGGACATCATGATAAACTGACATTAAAGTAACACATGTATCTCATCTACCACAAAGTCGGTACAGTTAAAACACGCTCTCTCATTGACGGGAAGGTTCGTATAGCGCCCAGTTTCAAATCTAATCGGTGCAACCCCACATTAAGATACGGCCAGAGATCTTCTGTTCGGTCTCGGGAGTTTATTGTAGTATTCCACTCTGTAGTTCCGGCGAGTTGGGGGTAAATAATATTGAATCCATTCTGAATACGTCGTGGTGGCATAACACTACACACTTTTCCTCCGACGTGAACACCTCACAGAAACATGAACGGGGGACATTAGCTTTAAAAAAATGTAAATGGTGTTGAATATAGCTTGAATTCACCGAGCGTCAGACAAATGCACGCACCGGGGTCAACACCCATGATGTCCGTACTGTCACACCTAAAGCCTGGGCCATAGGCGATTACCGATGTCCGGTGTTAGCCACAAGATGTATGCTGGTCTCAGACCTCTTGGGTTCAATGCACCTGAGTCGGACACACCATTTATCTCGCGACCCAATCGAAATCCGCACCAGTTGGTGACAAACCCTGGTTCAAACGGCAACCAGTCGGCGTAAATAAACTCGCTTCTATTATAAGGCGAATGGCATCCAATGCTAAACCTGAGCCGAATCTTGTTCAGACACTACTCTCTGACAAAAATGTGCCTCAAAACTCAGATTATGCAGATCAGTGGGTATGAAAACGTGAAAAGCAGAACAAAAACACTATTCGCACATCTACGAAGATCAACACAAAACTATCAGCAACATGTTGAGCAGGTCAAGCGATGATGCTAGCAATTCCCACATGGCACTTGACGCGCAGGAAAACCGTCAGTCTTCAGTGGCGAATGTCGCATCTCACAATCTGGTTCAAACAATAAATGTCACAGATTCAAGTTCACGTACTCTGAGTTCAATCTTTGCCGGTGCGGTGAATGATCCAGTAATTAACGTGGATTTCTGCGGTGGACAGAACAAATAAACTGACACTTCTTCAAATCCCAGCTTTCGGGCGTATGACGTAACAGTAAAGTTTAAATATTCCACCACATTCCAGGGAATCCCTGTTATTGGTTACCCAATGAGACTATGTCTTTCATTTCCAATGCATTGTAATTTCAATTGTTGAGGTTTTGATTGAAACCTTTCGAAGTAGTTTGTTCAAATGACACCTCTCATGCAGATGAAAATCCCTTGATTTCACCGAAGCTATGTTTTCATACGCATGACCTAGCTGCAAATATCATCACACTGTTAGGTAATTATACCCCGCCGCGCGATTAGCGTGAAGCGGGGGATATAGTATTAGGCTCCACCCGTCCGTCCGTACGTACGAATTGGAATAACTTAAAGCGTTGACTAGATTCGTACTTGGTACCTAGGTTCATCACAGTATGCGAAAGGTCCGAGTCCTTCATTTCAAGGTCACTTTAACGTTTTATCCTCCTTATCAGCGAGATATCTCAAGAACAGTTCACTGGATTTTCTTCATATTTGCAACCACGCTTCATTTAGGGAAGGGACAGGGCCCAGTCGACTTTGGTGACCACAGCAGATTTGCTGTGAATACTTTCGAACTTTTGTGTGTTATTTTGACAATTTATGTTCATCAATGTGTGATTGATATTGAAGATGTGAACTGTGAGCATCATCAGCTAGGTATCTGTGACTTTCTACAGTATTTTGCTCTTAAATCACTGTTTACATGTATGGACAATGCAGGGCTACCCAAGCCATTCCCCCTTCGGGAACTACAAAGTGCAAGTCAGATCGTATATGACCATATTCCAAATTTAAAAATATTGCTCGGGATGCACCAAGGTTTATTCTAGGTGACTTCAATGGATGTGCATTGAATTGTGTATTGCCTTATTATTCTCAGTATGTTACGTGTGCTACACGCAGAGACAGAGTTTTGGACAAGTGCTA